GAAACCACCCCCCCTCCCCTACAGCTCCCTACGTAGAAATGCCTTCTCCCTCCTCCTCTTTACGCCAGAAACAGGTTTGTTTACAGCCGGTGCTGCACATGACTTGTAAACAACTAACTACAGTGTTGGTTAGGCAAGACGGAGAAGTGAGGAGCGGGGGGAGCGGGTGTGCAGACATTTCGTTCGCGGACGAGAAGTGAGGAGCAGGGAGAAGAGCGGAGCAGGGAGAGGAGAGGGGAGAGGGGAGAGGGAGCGGTGCGCGGAGATTCCGTGCCCGGAGAATTGAGGAGCAGGGGGAAGAGCGGAACGGGCAGCGGGGACAGGAGCAGGAAAGGGAGCAGAGAAGGTTGCGCGGAGATTCCGTGCGAATGAACTAGCTACAACACGCAGCAGCAAGCGGACTCTTTCTTTGCCTTGAAAATTACGTTTTCAGACATAGGATATCGCCTTCATGTCCTGAAAAACGTTTGTCTAGCTCTTGGAAATAAAGTACGTTTTCATAATAAGCAGAAGTTTCCTGTCCAGGAGTAATTTGTGGACCAGTGCGTCAGTCTTTAGACCCTGCGTCTGCTTCAGTTGCGCCATCGCTGGAATGAATCTCCAAGAATCACCTTAGTTTTGGCTTTGCTGCTTTTCCCCTTGTCTTCTTCTTTCAGCGACCTCAAAAACGGACTTTCTTTTGCGGCGAACTGCTCCTGGATTCTTGTCGCCATTGCAACAAACTTTGTGCGAACTGCGAGGAAGATATAGGTCAAAAAAAGCCGCTAAGAACTGTTGCGTTGGTGGAGTAAACAGCGTCTGTGCGTCTTGCGTCTGTGGACTGTGTGACAGTCGTACGTAAACCACGTACCGGCGGCGCGCAGGCAAGTCAGTTATGCTAGAAACGTAGGGAGATTGATTGACAGCCTGTCAGCTCACAGATAACGAGGCAGTGTCGTTATCTATTGGCAAATGTTTAGCCCCACCATGTCCAGAGTTGATGAATTTTTATTCTCTTTTTTTTGGTCATCATAATTACAAGGCTACTGCACCTCTATAATCTATCATTGACAATTTGAAACAAAAAAAAATCCTCCATACAACCTTTAATACGTCATGTCCTGGCTTCTGTCCGGCCCTTCAGTCAAATTTTAGGACCCTATGTGGCCCGCGAGCCGAAAAGTTTGCCCACCCCTGTTCTAGAATGTGATGCAAAAATACCATTAGGTCGACCTACTGTCTTTAAATATGACCGAAGAGGCAGAATAACAATAAACGACACCTTAACAAACCAAATTTAAAATCCAATAGAGCCAGACCGAAGTTTTATAATCAATAAAAGATTCACAGTGAATTTTTACATCGCAAAAAATATCGTCTTTTAACTCGGCGCGCTCTCCACCTCCAACTCCCATTTTTTCGGTATCATATCAGCCGCAAAGAAATCCATATCGGTCGGGCCCAATAAACAACATGTCCATGATGTTTTATACATAAGAATAAATCAGCAGTACAATAGTTATCAGTAAAAGCAATATTACCGTTAAATCTGGAGACACAGTTTGGTCATGTTTATGGAATTTGAAATTGAAATCTTACATCCAGTTCCTTTAAGTTTTTCGTCACATACTCAGGGGCGATCCTATCATGTTTTCTTTCATAAGACAACGAATGTATCTGCCTGTTGAGTGAACGGGAGATTATTCTGCAAAAATGTGACTCTTTAATTGTGTTGCCTTCAGTACTTGAGCAGTAATGAAGCCACACTGACAAAAACTTCAAGGTCTTGAGCTATGTTTAAATATGCATGGATTTTTGCGAAACTTTGCAAAGCCCCTTTTTTTAATTAAATGCCAAATATCTAGGGGGTCAGAGAGAGAAATGTTTAACTTTTATTGGATAAGGACCACCCTAATATTAAAACAAAACAATATAACACTAACTTAGACTAAGACATGCACATTTTACTGGATATTACAATCACATGTCATGGATAAATACACATAGGCTATACTCTACATAAGACTAAGGTGACCAGATTTCGGTTTGTGGTGGTTAGTAATAATAAAATTGTGAAACGAGTGCGTAATTAAAGAAAATTGTTACGCACTTGGCACTAACGTGAGTCAGTATAGTCACATTTTCTTTGTGTTTTGGTCGCTTTTAAGAAGCTTTTCTGTATTTTACCCAAACAAATGACAATGTATGTCTCTCTTTACTGTCGGCAGGGATCAGATTTGTCAAAAATAGGGACATTTCTTGTATAAAATTGGGACAAATCACAGGTTTTGGATAAATCTGCTGGGACAGGGGACACAGGGCTCAAAACTGGGACTGTTCCGGGTAAATAGGGACGTCTGGTCACGTATCAGCCTATGGAATTTAGGGTGACCAGATTTTCAAAATAAAAACTGGGACACCCTCGGTTTGGAGTGGTTGGTAATAATAAAATTGTTAAACGAGTGTGTAATTAATGAAAACTGTGAGTATAGTGTAAGTGAGTATAAAACTGAGTCAGTATAGTCACATTTTCTTTGTGTTTTGGTCGCTTTTAAGAAGCTTTTCCGTATTTTACCCAAACAAATGACAATGTATGCCTCTCTTTACTGTCGGCAGGGATCAGATTTGCCAAAAATAGGGAAATTTCTTGTATAAAACTGGGACAAATCAGTGGTTTTGGACAAATCTGCTCAAAACCGGGACTGTCCCAGGTAAACAGGGACGTCTGGTCACCTTAAAGAATACAATTATTTCACAGTTGTTTTGAGGAGAATGTGGATGCCGGACAAGTTACACCAAATAAACAGCATTTAACCAGGAAGAGCAACTTACAATACACAATATACAAAACATACAGTACACCATAGCATTTACAATTGTATGTTACATTACATTGTTTATGTAATTGACAATTACTATATAAACTTACCACAATAGTTATTCTTATTTTTTTTATCTACAGATTTAATTACACCACAATTACTACCATGTGATATTCAAAAATATATTTGGAATCTCAAAGTTGTTATGTTAAAAAATAATTTCAGATTGACGTAACTATTGAAAATGTTGAAACACTGCATGAGAGAGTAACCACGTGTAGACGAGAAAAACAAAAACTCAGTATAAAGTCAAAATACAACAGGATTCTGACAACTTTTACGAGGCTGTGCAGTGATGATGTTTTTGATGGGTCCAGCGGATTTCCAGCCTCTTGCACTAGTGTCAGTTTATAGTTTTAAAAGTTTTTCCCCGTTATATTTTTACTCCTAAAAGTAAAAATAAGTTAAAGCAGACGTACAGTGCTTGTGTGTGCTCTCTAGTTATATAAACTCTTGGATTATTATGTTATAATTTGGACGTTTTAAATCGCAATATTGATCTAAAACGACTTCATAAAGAAACAAGTGCGCTGACTTCTGCGTTAGAAAACTGTGGTGCCCAGTGGGAGCTGATGTTGCCGTAAATGTCATAACAACAAAGCACCATGAAGTTGTCGGCGCCTCCTGTGGACAGTTGCACATCACACTAGCAAGATGTGGATTTTTTTTCCAGTTGTATCAAAATGACCGCACGACACGGCTGAAACCTAAGAGCATCACCGATTGCCGTTGCACTTTTTTCATGGTTTGAGTGTTTCCTGTGACTTATACTCCACTGTGACTTCTATATATACATTTTTAAAGCCGCGAGAGGCTCTAGTCTTGTGTGTGAGTATCTGCTGCTCCTGTTCCTCCTGCACCACTGTCACTTTACTCTACTGCGCACGTCTCCTGCAGAAAGAGCCTCTGTCCTGTTTGTATCATGTCAGTCGATCCATTTACTTTACTTCTGTACCAATTTAAACAAACTTATAAAGACGACTGAGAAGACTGAGAAACTTGTGACACCGGGAGGATGCAACATGCAACTTTCCTGGAAGTCACTGGATGGACGGACAAAACCTGGACTTCAGTGAGACCGAAACCATCCTGTCGGGATTCAGAAAGACCAGAATAATTCTAACTGGAACTGATGCTGAGTCTGACGACAGCGACGCAGAAGAGGAAGCGGCGCTGTGTTTACCTCCGGAGGTCGCGGAGTTGTTCAGAAGTGACACTGAGGATGAAGAATTGAATGGATTTAGTGATTTGGAGTGAGATGGAGAGTTTGTTAAACTTGTTCTGTTCTGTTGTTTATGTTATAGTTTATCTGAAGAACTGTTCATATGTGACGTTAACAGTCTGTTGTTCTCTCTTCTATTGTTTTTACTAGAACTTGACTTTCACTTATATGTTTTTTTCTTCTTCATTATGCATTTTTTGGCTGGTGTATCTTATACTCCGGAGCGACTTATTGTCCAGAAAATACAGTAAGAAAATAAAACTGGAAAACGAAGTAAATACGTCACAGTGGGCGTGTACCGGTGGTGTTGAAAATGGTATATGATCGGCAAAATTACGTGAGAATTGTGTGGTTCTCTGACTGTTTTTTACTGATTTTATTTGCTATTTTTCTATTTACTAATTTGAGTATTTTTATGTTTTTTATTGATTTATTTTATGCTTTAATTTATTTAATGTGTTAATTTATACTGTGTCTACTCTATGCAGCAGTTCAGAGACTTTGTGTTGTCAAAATGTGCTACACAAATAAAGTTGGATTGTATTGGATTTCGAAAATTAGATTACTCAAACATGCACGAATCACTTTGTGCGAGGGGAAATGGTGAGAGGAAGTAACAATAATGTGATTAAACACTCTGAAAAGTGAATTGTGCAGAATAGGGCTGATTCCCAATTTCTTTCCCCGTATATTTGAGCAAAATGTGTCATGCTCCAGTACAAGAATATTGTATAAGCAGCTCTTGTGGTCAAAATAAGTCCTTTGTTTACTGTCTGCACTGAATTACAAAATGTTTTATAGTCCGGGAAGTGAATGAAGTCTCTCAGAGTTGTGAAAAGTGCTTAAAAACTCATTGCAGTGAATAATTTGGATGTTCCTCTGGTTGGTTCTTCGGTGTAAAATCCAGCCCTGGTTCTTTAGGGAATCATCTCCAGCCTGGGCCCGTACCTCCTCCCCTCTCCTGAGTCCTGGTCTCTGGGCGGGTCCGGGGTCTCGGGGCTCGGGGTGCTCTGGGTGCTCTGGGTGCTCTCGTTGTTTTGCTCCTCACAGGTGGCGTGGGGGTGGGTGTGCCAGGTGCCCTCCCGGTACGTGCAGTAGCAGACCGTGCGCTCGTCCACGCTCACCCGCTCTCCGGCCGGGATGATCCTGTTCCCCACGAAGCAGTTAGGTCCTGGAACCAGAGGGAGAGGAGAGTTATTGATCATGCTGGGGGTGTTCTGCATGTTTGTTTATGGTGGAATATTCAGCAGCTACTATAATGACACAATACACACAAAATGTTAGTTTGAAAACTCAAGAAAAACAAAAAAAACTACGATCTAAACAGCACATTTTCAGGAACCTGTGATCACTACGAGCGTTCATGGCTGTGTCTAGAGTTTGATTTTCAACAAAATGGTGAGTGACTAACTGAAAAACTAATATTATTTGAGAGGGACTTGTTTAACAGTAACACAATCCCTCCTAGTTTGTAATCAGTTCTTTCCTTTCAGATTATATTGACCGGCAACGTGAGTGAGACCAGCCACAGCGACAAAATAATGAGTAGTCCTTTTCACGTAGGGAAGGAACTATTTGAGGGCGTATTGATACAGCTGTGATAAGGTCACATACACGTCTTGTGTTGGACGGGCTGTTGGAGAGGTTTTTCACAGATTATAAAACGGTTTCTTGAGGAGCTGTCCCTCTCCCATCACCTTTAAAGTCACATTTCAGAACAGGGGCGTCCAAACCTTTCACAGATGCACATAGAAAAATATTATTCAAAGCAGAAAAGCCGAGGCCCACAGAGCAGAAGTCAGGGCAGTGGGTCATTCATATGGTGATTTTTACAGAGTTCTGACAGGAGCCACTGTAGCTCTAATGAGGCTCAAAGTCATTGTACATCTGTATCACTAAACATGCAAAAGTTAGTGAGGTTACAGTTTTTTTTTACACATTTAGTGTAAAAATACATTGTTTGGGCCAATTTACCAGGAGACTTGAGGGCAAATAAAAAGTGTTCTGAGGAGCGCATTTGGCCCTGGGCCACTGCCACTTACAACAACTAGTACTACAGTTACATTACTTCAAAAATAATAGCACTCCAGTAAAAGTAAAAGGTAATGGTTCCAAACACTTCACTATAATTTGATAAATTTACAAGCGGTCAGAATGAGATTCCTCCGCAGGGTGTCTGGGCGCTCCCTTAGAGACAGGGTGAGGAGCTCAGTGACACGGGAGGAGCTCAGAGTAGAGCCGCTGCTCCTCCACGTCAAGAGGAGCAGCTGAGGCCCGGGCATCTGATGCCTCTTGGGCGCCTCCTTCAGGATGCATGTTCCAGGCATGTCCCACTGAAGGGAGGCCACAGGGAAAAACCCAGGACACACTGGAGGGACTGTGTCTCTCGGCTGGCCTGGGAAAACCTCGGGGACCCGGATAAGAGGATAAGAAAATGGATGGATTATTCATTGTTTTCTGCCTGAAATAAAAATCTATTTCTCTATTACACTGTAAACAATTCAGGACAATAGAGTAAAACTATTGTGTCTCAGAGCTACCCCAAAACTTTTCTATGTCAAAGGAGAATGTTCCAACATGTAGTTTTAGCTCTTTGTTTCTATGGCGACATGCAGGTGATGTGTCCGTCACCAGGAAATTTACACAGTGTTGCTTTAAATTTGCACTATGTAATTTTCCCAGTGGAGGGTCCAGCACCTGCTTCTGTCTTTTCATGTGATTCTGAACTGAAAAACCTGTAGCTGAATAAACAGAAGATAGAGAAGTTTAATGCCATAAGGCGGAACATTCTGTGGAGCAAAGCAATAACATCTCCATGGAGACAGGCAAATGGTGGATCTTCCAACGGAATGAATGATCTGACATTGTAAGAAGACAACCTTTCCCCTCATGACTTAAGTCTGATCCTCACAGACGGCAGCTCGAGGGACGGGGAGGACGCTGCGTTGCCAGATCTGTGTGTGATTAAGCAGCAGAGCTTTAAACTGAGTGATGTAACAGACCCCACCTCCATCTGCTCCTGTCAGCTGTGTATTAAAACCATGTTCTATTCCTGGGTCATTTATTAAGCTTAAAACAACAAGAACAACATCAGACAAGAACAAATGACATAACTCTGTGACATAAGAACATCAGCTCCTCAGCGGCAGAGGGAGGGCATCTGAGAGAAACCACGCTCCTGTCCGGCTGATGGTGCAGGTCCACACCATCTACAGCCAACACTGAGTCCATCCTGAGTCCATCCTGAGTCCATCCTGAGTCCATCCAGAGTCCAGAGTCCATCCTGAGTCCATCCTCACCTCCTCCAGCCTCTGACCTCTGAACTCTGACCACGGATCAGTTTAATAGTGTTCTAGTCAAGACCGCACTAATCGAGACCAAGACCTGTCCAAGATCACAAGGTCCCTAGACCAGGACAAGACCAAGACAGAGACTTTTAAAGGCCGAGACTGAGACAAGACCAAGACTTTTAAGAGCCAAGCCCAAAACAAAACCAAGACCACAGCCCATCGAGATCAAATCGAGACCATCTTTGTCATTTTTGACATTTGTATTTTACTGCACATATATTTTGGCACAAACACATCAATGTTTTTTATAAATCTGTCTCCATTTTATCACTCGTCGAGTGTCAGACCTCGAGACTGAGACAAGACCAAGTCCAAGAGCCTTGAGAACTGAGACAAGACTGACTCCAAACACGGTCCAGTCATTTTAAACAAACTTGTCACTTTAAAACACCTGTCACTTTAAAACACCTGTCACTTTAAAACACCTGTCAGTTTAGAACACCTGTCAGTTTAGAAACACCTGTCAGTTTAAAACACCTGTCAGTTTAGAACACCTGTCAGTTTAGAAACACCTGTCAGTTTAGAAACACCTGTCAGTTTAGAAACACCTGTCAGTTTAGAACACCTGTCAGTTTAGAACACCTGTCAGTTTAGAAACACCTGTCAGTTTTAGAAACCCTGTCAGTTTAGAAAACACCTGTCAGTCAGTTTTAGAACACCTGTCAGTTTAGAAACACCTGTCAGTTTAGAACACCTGTCAGTTTAGAAACACCTGTCATTTTAGAACACCTGTCAGAACACTTTTAGAAACACCTGTCATTTTAGAAACACCTGTCAGTTTAGAAACACCTGTCATTTTAGAACACCTGTCAGTTTAGAAACACCTGTCAGTTTAGAAACACCTGTCAGTTTAGAAACACCTGTCAGTTTTAGAACACCTGTCAGTTTAGAACACCTGTCATTTTAGAACACCTGTCAGTTTAGAAACACCTGTCAGTTTAGAACACCTGTCAGTTTAGAAACACCTGTCAGTTTAGAACACCTGTCAGTTTAGAAACACCTGTCATTTTAGAACACCTGTCAGTTTAAAACACCTGTCATTTTAGAACACCTGTCAGTTTAGAAACACCTGTCAGTTTAGAAACACCTGTCACTGTAAACGACACTTGTTATTTTAGAAACACCTGTCACTCTATAACATGACAGTGGACAGTAATGGTGTACTGCAGTAAAACATGTACAATAGTAAAGTGTACTGCAGTAAAACATGTAAAACATGTACAATAGTAAAAGTGTACTATAGTAAAAGTACCAGTGTTGCAGATGGGGCAGTTATCATGTAGTGTACTAATAGTAAATAATGTGCTATAGTAAAAGTGTACTATAGTAAAAGTGTACTGTAGTAAAAGTGTACTGTAGAAAAAGTGTACTATAGTAAAAGTGTACTGTAGTAAAAGTGTACTGTAAAAAGTGTACTGTAAAAGTGTACTGTATAGTAAAAAAGTGTACTGTATAGTAAAAGTGTACTGTATAGTGTAAAAAGTGTACTATAGTAAAAGTGTACTGTAGTAAAACTATAGTAAAAGTGTACTGTAGTAAAAGTGTACTATAGTAAAAGTGTACTAAAAAGTGTACTATAGTAAAAGTGTACTAAAAAGTGTACTATAGTAAAAGTGTACTGTAGTACTATAGTAAAAGTGTACTATAGTAAAAGTAAAAAGTGTACTATAGTAAAAAGTGTACAGTAAAAGTGTACTGTAGTAAAAGTGTACTGTAGTAAAAGTGTACTGTAGTAAAAGTGTACTGTAGTAAAAGTGTACTATAGAAAAAGTGTACTAGTAGTAAAAGTGTACTATAGTAAAAGTGTACTGTAGTAAAAGTGTACTATAGTAAAAGTGTACTGTAGTAAAAGTGTACTATAGTAAAAGTGTACTATAGTAAAAGTGTACTATAGTAAAAGTGTACTATAGTAAAAGTGTACTATAGTAAAAAGTGTACTGTAGTAAAAAGTGTACTATAGTAAAAGTGTACTGTAGTAAAAGTGTACTGTAGTAAAAAAGTGTACTATAGTAAAAGTGTACTGTATAGTAAAGTAGTGTACTGTATCTAGTAAAAGTGTACTATAGTAAAGTGTACTGTACTGTAGTAAAAGTGTACTATAGTAAAAGTGTACTGTATAAAAGTGTACTGTAAAAAGTGTACTATAGTAAAAGTGTACTGTAGTAAAGTGTACTGTAACTATAGTAAAACTGTAGTAAAAAGTGTACTAGTAAAAGTAAAAGTGTACTATAGTAAAAGTGTACTAGTAAAAGTGTACTGTAGTAAAAGTGTACTGTAAAAGTGTAAAAGTGTACTATAGTAAAAGTGTACTAGTAGTAAGTAAAAGTGTGTACTATAGTAAAAGTGTACTGTACTATGTAGTAAAGTAAAAGTGTACTGTAGTAAAAGTGTACTATAGTAAAAGTGTACTGTAGTGAAAGTGTACTGTAGTAAAAGTGTACTATAGTAAAAGTGTACTGTAGTAAAAGTGTACTATAGTAAAAGTGTACTGTAGTAAAAGTGTACTGTAGTAAAAGTGTACTATAGTAAAAAGTGTAAAAAAGTGTACTGTAGTTGTACTATAGTAAAAGTGTACTGTAGTAAAAGTGTACTGTAGTAAAAGTGTACTATAGTAAAAGTGTACTATAGTAAAAGTGTACTATAGTAAAAGTGTACTGTAGTAAAAGTGTACTATAGTAAAAGTGTAAAAGTGTACTATAGTAAAAGTGTACTGTAGTAAAAGTACTGTAGTATGGTGTACTATAGTAAAAGTGTACTATAGTCTGTAGTACTATAGTAAAAGTACTGTACTATAGTAAAAGTGTACTATAGTAAAAGTACTGTATAAAAGTACCGGTGTTGCAGATGGGGCAGTTATCATGTCATGTACTATAGTAAATACTGTACTATAGTAAAAGTGTACTGTAGTAAATAAAAGTACCGGTGTTGCAGATGGGGCAGCAGTGGTTGGGCTCGTACGTGGGGTTGACACAGTGGGGGGCGGGGCAGTCGGAGATGGTGCAGTAAACGTCTCTGTTCGACCCACAGCGACAACGTTCACACCGGGACACCTGCACACACACAACACACACTAACACACAACACACAATAACACACAACACACAATAACACACAACACACAATAACACACAACACACAATAACACACAACACACAATAACACACAACACATAACACACAACACATTAAACAAAACACAACAACATGTGTGACTTATACACTACTGCAAGGCTAACCACTCTGCCACACTGTGAGACTGTGGACATGTGCTACTTTTAAAACTTTTTAAAACAAGGACATGCATGACGTAACTATGGAACAAGAGGCACTGTGTAAGTTTTCTGCTTGTATCTATGGAGATGGAGTGGAGGGTTTGTCTGGAAAGTCCCACAGTGCGGCATTAAACATACTGTATTTATACATGTAGACAAGCCAAGAGGCCAACTTACTCATCAGATCTATGGAGAGGCAACAATGATCACAGGTATTATACAGATGTTTATTTTCAAGCAGTAAAAACACTTGTGGCTAATTGAATAAAAGTCAAATAAGACAAAAGACAAGTTTAAAGACAGAGAAAAGTTACGTAGTATAAACTTTGAATCGTGTCCCGAGGCCCGTGTTACTTATGTGAAAATAAAAAAGTATGCCCCTGTCTCCCCTCTGCTTTGGATGTGCAGTAAAACTCACCCAGAACTCCTCGAGCAGCCTGTACGTCTTGCCTCGGTACACGCACACGCGCGCCATGGCCTCGCACACGGGACAGCAGCCCTTGTACCGGATGCGCGTGCACCGGGGATGGACGCGCGGACACTTGGGCCGCACGCACACAGGGCCGTCCGCCGTGCACGTGCAGGGGCACGCGGACGGGCTCGGGTAGTACACCTCTCCGATGGCGTACACGAACCCGTGGTCGTCCAGGCACCACTTCCCGCGGTAATCTCCAAACTCGTAATCTTCCGTTTTGGACGAAAACTCCGCGAGAAGAAACCACGGACACGCGGCCAGCAGCACGAGACCGGGCAAGAGACGGAGAAGTCCCCGGGGCATGGTCCACTCCACACGGGATACGGCTCAAGTTTACAGCAACATCCGAGCGCGTCTGGCTCCGAGCGCGCGCGCCTCCACCGACAGGGGGCGTGACCGAGCGGACGCGCCGCTCCACAGCTCCACGGTCTTCAACATAAACACTGATCAGAGTTTCATTCACATAATAGATGCACAGAGGTTTTAGTCTGTGACACCTAAATTTAGTAAAAAATAAATGTGATTAATACTTTGAAATACTTCAGTGCTGAAGATAATTTGTTTTGGCTTTTGTGGTCAATGATGAGTTTAGAATAAACCCTGTTCTGTTTAGTTTCGACAAACTTAGATTTGGCTTTTTAAAGTCACTATGAGCAATAGTATATGACAGGCTTTGCTTTATCAACTGTGTCAGTAGGTTAAAGAAATATAAGAATGTACCTGGTAATACATTACAATTTTAAGTAACAAGTGCCTAGTGATACATGACTGTGAGGCTGTACTTGTACCCATCCATTTTCTTCCACTTTATCCGGCCTTGGGTCGCAGAGGCAGCAGTCCAAGCAGAGACTCCCGGACTTCTCTTTCCATGCACTTTCTCCAGCTCCTCTGGAGGGATTCCCAGGCGTTCCCAGGTCACTGAGAGACATAGTTCCTCCAGTGTGTCCTGGGTCTTTCCCGGGGTCTCCTCCTGGTTGAACTTGCCCAGAACGTGCATCAGAACAGATGTCCTCCTCTCAGCTGCTCCTCTCCACGTGGAGGAGCAACGGCTTTACTCCGAGCTCCTCCCGTGACTGAGCTCCTCACCCTATCTCTAAGGGAGCACCCAGACACTCTGCGGAGGAAACTCATTTCAACCGCATGAATCCGCAGTCTTGTCCTTTCAGTCATTACCCAGAGCTCCTGACCACAGATGAGGAGAAATGAAGATTGACGGTAAATTGAGAGTTTTGCCTTTCGGCACAGCTCCCTCTTCACCACAACGGATCGATACAGCGACCGCATCACTGCTGATACTTGTACATTAGTTAATAAAGAAGAAATGCAGTTAGCCGAGACTCTAACAATGCAGAGTATAGTTTATTTTTTTTTCTTTTACACCATTTTCAGACAGTATTGTGTATCTCTAAATGTTTTTCATAAAACCTAAAATCATAAATCATACACCAGAAAGAAGCCGTCAGGTAAGACTCAGGACACGCTGGAGGGACTATGTCACTCAGCTGGCCTGGGAACACCTCGGAGTCCCCCGGAGGAGCTGGAGGAAGTCAGAGTCCCTGCTTAGACCCTGGATAAGTGGAAGAAAATGGATGGATGGAATAAAAATCATACATCCGAGTTACATTTTTAAAGTAACATCAGGTAATACGACTAAAACCCTTTCCCCAGGCAGTCGTTGTAACATAATAAAACTAATTTCTAAAGTCTTTAAGCGAGTAAAGAACTTGACAAGACCAAAACGTCAGTAACAGAAACTCTTTATTCGGATAGAGAAATTCAGGAAGTACAAAAGATGCAAAAACAAAGCTATAATTCTTTATTACTAAAACAGTCCAATTCTAGTAAGAAACAACAGTCTTCGATGCATACATGACTGAGGTTACACTGAGAAGAGGAAGAAGAGGAGGAAGAGGACAAATCAAGGACACGAGATCATCAGTAGCTTTCAAAACGGTGGCAACCCTACACAGTGAAGGACGTTACGAGGACTTGTACTTTCCACCGTGCGAACTCCATCAGCCCTCGGGACGTTTTTTACCGAGCCGACTGCGAAGCGCGCGCGGCGTTTCGTGTTACTGATACGAGATTTTTTGCGTGGTGGTCAAAGTTCTATTCTAGTCTCTCTCTAAAAACAAAGATACAGTAGTAGGAGTAGTCGTTAAATATTGAGGTTTCACGAGGAGATTGGGGGGGGGGGGGGGGGGGTCCTCCTAAAGGCCGTCTCACGTTTTGTGGAATTGCTTGAGTGAAAAAAACACCACAGTGGAATTGGAAGTAAACCGTTGAATGCCCTCATCACAGTAGTTTAAGTGACAGCATCTGAGCTAAAACATGCGGCGGAGTACACGGGGAAAACGCCGGGAAAACGAGTTCAAGTCCAGGGAATTCGTAAAACGTAATTTGAGAAGATCCAACTCAATATCGTTAGAAGGTTTGGTCGAGATTTTGGAAGCCATTTTGGACTGATTTTAATATTTTAATACTTTTTTCACAAAATTATCTGACAGTGTTTTTTTTTGTTTTTTTTTTTTTTGACAATTTAACTTTTTTTTCTTGAAATCTTGTATTTTGTGAATCTAGAAAATACGTAATTTGAGCAGATCCGACTCAAGTTGGTCTAGATTTTGGAAGACATTTTGGACTGGTTTCAATCTTTTTTTCACAAAATTATCTGTCCATTTTGTTTATTTTTCTTTACTTTACTCAGTTTGGTTGTTTTTTTTTCTTTCTTGAAATAATAAAATTACATAAAAAATATGTCCCTAAAAGAAGTAGTTGAAGTAGATTGTTGCTTTTGTTTTTAGTGTAAAGAAATAAAAAGGTGTTGTATTTTGTGAATCTAGAAAATACACTGAAACTAGTTTGTATGACCAGATTTTTTGACTAATCACAACTAGACAAAAAAAAAACAAAAAACAGGATAAACTTTTTTTTCCCCATTTTAGAATCTTAGTCATTTGAACTCATTTTCGGAGTTCAAAACCAGTCAATTCTTAAAATGTAATTTGAGTAGATCTGAATCAGTTTTGTTAAGTTGGTCAAGATTCTGGACTGGTTTAAAAAATGTTTCCTTTCATAAAATTATCTTGATATTATTATAATGAAATTATGATAAAGCACTGAAGCAAAAAGTATGTCCCTGAAGAAGTGGTTGAAGTAGACTGTTGCTTTTGTTTTTATTGAAAAAAAATAATAATAAAAAGGTTTAAAAAGTTGAAGTGTTGTATTTTGTGAATCTAGAAAATTTACTAAAACTAGTCGAAAAAATCTGCCTCACAAACTCAACACAACTAGTCAAAAAAACAAGATAAACATTGAGAATCCTGGTCATTTGAACTAATTTTTGAAGTTCAAATCCAATCAATTCTTAAAATAATTCTTAAAGTCTTTAATTTGAAATAAAACTACAAAAAGTATGTCCCTAAAAGAAGTCACTGAAGTAGATTGTTGCTTTTGTTTTTAACCTTTTGATTTGTTTACGATTTATTAAGAAGTTGAAGTGTTCTAGAAAATTCACTGAAACTAGTCAAAAAATTTTGCCTCACAAAATTAACGCAACTAGTCAAAAAAACATGATAAACATTAAGAATCCCGGTCATTTGAACTCATTTTCGCAGCGTTAGCAGAACCGTTTTAGTCCAGTTTAGAAACATAGTCGTAAACCTCGTCGCACTTTCAGTATTTTCAGTAAACCTAGTTCCCGGCGGCGGACTAAAGCGGCCCCGCGTGGACTCGGACACATCCTGAGCGTATTAACGTGACAGAGGAATGGCTTGGTCAGTGTGCTCCTGATTTGAATCCCTGGTTTTCTTTGGCTGTGCAGATTATTGGAATAGAAATCGTGGTTGGGTGTGAACTGGGCATGCTGGGTGTGGTTAGGCGAGAGTGAACATGCGGTCTCCCGTCTCTCGAGAGGCGAGTGGGGCTACGTCCGCGCGAAAAATCACAAATACATTTTCAAATATCTGTGTAATTCAGGGAGGTTCCGTCGCAAAAAAGAAAACTGAAGTCTGTTAACTGGACAAAAAGAAGGGAAATATGCACAAAGTGATATTCACCGTGTGCTGATATTGTCCCATTAGGGAAGGAACGAGTATCCAAAACTTACTGGATAGTTCACACCTTAGGACAGTCAACACCCTAGGTTACCAAACAACTACTGGAACGCTCACATCTTAGGTAGCAAACAATTACTTGATAGTTCCTACTTCAGCAGAGGCCACACCTTAGGACAGTCCATACCCTACCAGAAGCAAACTATTACTGGGCAGCTCACATCTATGGGCAGTCCACACCCTAGGTCAGGCTACACCTTAGGGCAGCAAACAATTACTGGCTAGCTCAAACCTTAGAGCAGTCCACATTATATTAAAGTCCACACCCTAGGAGAGTCCACAATTAGTTGAATGCTCACACCTTAGGACAGCAAACAATTACTGGATAGCTCCTACTTTAGCACAGTCCACACCTTAGGGTAGCAAAAATACTGGCTAGTTCACACCTTAGGGTAGCAAAAACAATTAGTGGACAGCTCACACTTTAGCACAGGTCACAACCTCGGTCAGGCCACACCTTAGGGCAATCCACACCTTAGGGTAGCAAACAATTTCTCGCTACCTCACACCTTATGGCAGTCCGCAATTATTGGAATGCTCACACTTTTGGGCAGTCCACACCTTAAGGTAGCAAACAATTACTGGATAGCTCACACCTTAGGGTAGCATACAATTACTGGGTATCTCATACATTAGGATAGTCCACAATTACTGGAATGCTCACGCCTTAGGGCAGTGCACACCTTAAGGTAACAAAAAATCTTGGATAGCTCAAACCTAAGGACAGTCCACTCCTAAGGGTAGTCCACACCTTAGGACAGTTTAATACCTATATCAAACATTGGTAATTTTGAGAATAAAGTCCTGAAGTTTAAGAGGTTGATGGACTTAAGAGATTCTTCTTCACCTGGACAGTTTTTTTAGTTTTTTTTTTTAACCAAAACATTTCAGTTTGCGTTCTGATGAGCGACACAAACATTTATACTTCGGGATGGGAACTGAAACGTCACGGTCCAGGGTCCAGATGACGACCAACCGCGGAAACCTTCTCTACATTGGACCGCTCTTGGATTTACAGACCTCAGAAAACTAGGGTGTGTTAGTTTCAGTGCAGTCAGCTCATCCCTTGAGACAAATATAAGGCAGTGACTTAAAAGAACCCTGTCAGAACTGAAGAAGCCTCTTGGACGAGCGGCCAAACATTCACTCTCAACTTTTGTCCAGTTAACAGAATAAAATTTTCTTTATTCACAATTTAAACAATTTATTTTGATTCATCAGCGTGGATGTAGCCGTTCTTTCATACCCCAACCCTGGCCACGTACGAGCTACATGTCAAACGGCTGTGGGGGGAGCGCGGGGGGAGGCACTGGTTCCTCGGGGGCGGGCGGCGGGGGCTGGCTGGGCGCGGGGGCTTCGGGGAGCGGCGGGGCGGCGGGCGCGGAGCTGGCGGGGGGTCCCTCCGTGGACGCGGCGGGCAGGCTGTTGCTGTCCTCGCTGGGGGCACGCTGCCGGAGCTGGGGGTGCCGGGGGGCTCGGGGGGCGGGGAGGCCTTGTCCGAGGAGTAGGAGGGCGGGTCGGACGGGGGACCGGCCGAGGGTTTGGACTCGGGTCCGGGTTCAGCGCTGGACGTTTCATCTAAAAAAAAAAAAAATGTAAAAAAAGGGGGAGAAGGAAAGTTATAATTGGACATTTTCAAATTAAAAGCGGCAGTATAATAAATCTGTGTATCATTCGTTCATTCAATTTTCAAAATAAAACCAAAAATAAGAAAACGTAAAACTGTTTACTTCATTATTTGTCTCCAAAATCAAAATGAAAAAACGGATAACGATTCAGTTTTTTAATTTTTCAATTTTGTGTTTAAGGGAATAATGGAAAAAAATGGATAACGACCGTTTCCTGTTTCCGTGACTTAAACTGTGATGCCGGACTAAACCAGGACTAAACCGGTCTCCAGTCCAGTCCCCCGGTCTCCACAGTCCCCCGGTCTCCACAGTCCCCCGGTCTCCACAGTCCCCCGGTCTCTCTCCCGTCCCCCGTCCCAGTCCCCCGGTCTCTCTAGTCCCCAGTCGCCCTGGTCTCAAGTCCCCCGGTCTGGTTCCGGACCTGGTTCAGTCCAACATCTCAGTTTAAGTCACATAAACTGGAAACAACCGTTCTCCCTTTTTCCCATTATTCATTTAAACACAAAAACTGGGAAAAAAAGAATCGTTGTCCGTTTTTTCATTTTGGAGACAAATAATGCAGAAAATTGTTGTTTTTTCGTTTTCTTAATTTCAGTTTTATATTGAAAAACTGAATGACTGATACACGGATTATAATAGCATCGTGTAGGACAGGGTAAAAATCATTATCACGATTATTTTGGTCAATATTGAAATCACGATTATTCAAAGGATTATTTTTTTTTGTTACACAATGCATGTACTCAGCATTTCTCTCTCAAAAAACACTTAACATAATTTACTCAAAACTTCCAAAGTGAAACTAAATATGGGCTACAAACATGACATAAAATGAATAAAATACACTTTGAACATGAAATAAGGAAGAAACACATAAATGCATCCAAAATAAATATATATCCAGCTGTTCTACAATCTCTATATTTAGAAAAATTACCTAAATATATACACACTTATACTATACTTATTTGTATGAAAAATATCCCAAAATAAACTCTGTTAAGCTAAATTGTTTCAACTCAGTTATATGAGTCTGGAGATAATTTGACACACAAACTTAAATCGTGATCAAAATTCAATTACTTGCACTTAGTCGCCTTAGTTGACAAAAATTTTAAAATCTGATAAGAAAACTAGATATTGATTTGACCAAGTATCAATACTCAAAAACTCGCATCACAGGACGACAATGAATAGTTTTAGAACGATCTTGAGCCGTTTCAGAACAAGTATAAAAGCACATGGACTAGTTTACGCCCACGGTTTAGACCTGGACCACTGAGGGATTAACACAGACACAAGGCCACATGGGACTAGAAAAGAAAGTACAACCATTTAATATTGAAAAAAACTTTTCTATTGCCTAAATTAAAAGTGTTTTTATCATCACTGTGGTATCGTAATCAATATCGAGTCTATTGCTTAGTATTGAAATAGAGTTTGAAATAGTATTGCACTGCTATGTTGGACTATTTTAAGTATTTGATGATGTTGGGAATATTTTCTTGGATTCTGAAAGTGTCTTGAACTACTTTCTCCTCACTTTTTGAAACTAGGTCAGGGAATAGAAGGATTTGTTTTCAAGCTGTCAAGGTCTGCATTTCTACAAACAACAGACTTGGCATACGCATCAGCACAGCTTCAGTTTGAGTGGGTCTGAATACACACAAGGACAGTGGTGTGGAAAAAAAAAAAAAAAAAATCTTTGTTTTTCAGACCTTGTGATTGTTTTTATACCAAACATCACATTAATGTTTTTACTGAAGACAACGGATTTACTCTCAATTAGAAAAACTTTGGCTGTGATACTATAATTCTTCATTAAACCACTTCTTGTGCAAAGTTCATATGAAACACAAACATTTTAATCATCAAAACAGTGAAAATGTCAAATGTGTCGCATTAATGAGTTTCTTTCCTCTAATCAAGCAACAAAACTGTAGCTCTGTAACAAAACAATTTAGTAAAATACACCAAAAAATACTCTTGGTGATATATCGATACAGCAGCCCAAGATATCGATTAATTAAACGATACGATATATCGATTTAGATATTTTTGCACACCTCTAGTTATAATATATTTTCATGAGTCAGTGCTAGTGCAGCCTCTGCAGCTCAGGGAATGAATTCTTGAGGTTCTGAGATTTCACACAGGGCTGTCCATTAAGGGTGTGCAAAAATATCAAAATATCGATATACCGTATCGTTTAAAGTGATGAATACAGTATTGATATCGTGGGCTGCTGTATCGATATATCGCCAAGAGTATTTTTTGGTTTATTTTACTGAATTATTTTGTTACAGAGCTACAGTTTTATTGTTTGTTTAGTGAAAGGAAACTTGTTTATGCGACACATTTGACATTTTCACTATTTTAATGATTAAAATGAGTGCGTTTCATATTCACAGAAGCAGTTTAACAAAGACTTTTAGTTTCACAGCCATGATTTAGCCTTTACTTTTTACTGAACCGTATCGAATCGATTTGAAATATATCATCAAATCGAAAGTGCACTGTATCGAGATATGTATCGTATCGGCAACTTCTTAATGATACTCAGCCCTACTGTCCTGATACTGAGAATAAGACAAACTTGCTTCCTAAATATGAAGTTCAGGTCATTTCAGTTGTCAAATTCAGTTTTGATTGTAATATTTCAATGTTTACCAAGTAAGATTTAGTTGTTTCTAGTATCTTTAAGCCTGAAAAATGATCAGACCAGACCTAAAAATAAGAAGTACACATGTGTCTAAGCAGAACCAAGAAGATATTTAGGTCTGTGCAGAGGATATCATCTTTCTAATAATAATAATTCAGCCTTTACGATTTCACTACATGGTTATCTACATTTGAATTTATCTCCATCTAACATCACGGTGCAGTTCTGACGCCCGTGTACGTCTGCACGTGCCCCACATTGTGCCCTTACCAGTGTCCATGGGCATGTCCTTGTCCTCGTCCTTGCCCCCCGCTGCGGAGGTCTCAGAGTGGTTCTGTTTGTCCTCCAGTTGCTTGGCTGCTCTCTCGGCCTGCTCCGCCGCCTCCTTCTCCCGCTCCTCTGCGCGTTTACGAGCCGCCTCCTCCGCCGCGGCCATCTCTGCAGCCAGCTTCTCCATGTCCACCTCCACCTTCAGACTGCACAGCTGCAACACGACGGGACACGCTTTCAGAGGAGATATTTTACTCACTAACACAGACTTGGATTGCTACGGAGTACGAAAGCTTTCAGAAATATTTGTGTACATAGGATAGAAATCTGCATTTTTGTCTGTAGTTGAGTATAAAATAAATATTCATAAACCCTCGAATGAGTCCAGTCGTACATAAAATGTGTTGTGTTTATTTTATCCAACAGAAAAAGAATTGAAAAGTTACGACATTAAGAATTATAATCACAAAATGAAAAAAAAAAAAAAATAAATTAGACCTATTTTAGTTCGGGTTCAGTTTTGGGATTTAGTCGTCCTGGTTTAGTCGTCCTGGTTTAGTCGTCCTGGTTTAGTCGTCCTGGTTTAGTCGTCCTGGGATCAGTCCCGTTTTGGTCCCAATCGAGTCCTGGGATCAGTCAGTCCCCTTGGTTCAGTCCCCTTGGTTCAGTCCCCTTGGTTCAGTCCCCTTGGTTCAGTCCCCTTGGTTCTGTCCCCTTGGTTCTGTCCCCTTGGTTCTGTCCCCTTGGTTCTGTCCCCTTGGTTCTGTCCCCTTGGTTCAGTCCGTATGCGAGACTAAACCAGGACTGAACCAAGAGGGTCGAGCATCTCCATCGATGTTTCTTTTGCTCAATAACGCCTGTGAAGTGATGCATTTTTGACAGTCGAGTCGCGCCTGTGAATTCGTATTTGTACTGAAGAAAGCGTAATCGCACATTTTCATTTCGTGATTGTAATTCTTGATGTCTTAACTTTTAAATTCTTATTCTGATGGATAAAATACACACACGACACATTTTATGTACGACTGGCCTCATTCGAGAGTTTATGAATATTTATTTTATGCTCAACTACAGACAAACATGCACAGATTAACATGTTTCATAAGTTTGTGTTTTTTACACTCTCCTCAGTCTGTCCTCACTTTGCTCTCTCCATTAAGTCACTCCCCGTTCAGAGCGCCGTCACAACACAATCCATCCCACTACTGAAACTACAGCACATCGTATCAGGTTTTTCGAGTTGCTGTGTACAGTTTTGTATCATGTTCTTTTATTTATATTTCTGGAAGATTGTCGTGTGGGAGCCTGGGCGTTAGGAGGGTTTGAATAGGGCCTGTGAAAGATCTCTATATTACTCAAACATGCATGGATGACATCTAAAACCTCTTCAGGCATAGTTTTGATGAGGAAAACATTATAACAGTGTATAAACTCTTTAAACGTGACAAACATGGTTGAATTTGTGACGAGGAAACACTGTCTGTTTAATATTTTGCCCGACAATTACGTTTCCTGTTCCGTACCCGTTTGAGCTCCGTGTTGAAGGAGTCTGTGGTCTCCAGGAAGCGCCTCTTCTTGTCCTGATGTCTGTCCTCGATCTGCAGCAGCTCCGCCTCCAGCTTTCTCTGTAACGCAACGGGATCTGTGTCACCAACGCAACAGCAACCGAGTCTTTGGGAGAAGCTTTAAAACAGTCAATCCCAATAAAAAAGAAATAAGAAAACTGTGGCAACTCTTCCGTATATTATTTCCTCTTCCTTGCGTATATTTAAACATAAAAGCTTGTAGAATTTAAGATGGTTATTTGCGAGACGAGACCTTGAAGACAACAGGTCCATTAATTCTTAGAAGATCAGAGGGAGGCGCATTTGTAGCTTTCTCAATATTTATGGTAATTCGCTTTTTTTTATTAAAGCTGGGGATTTGTAAGAGAGTCGATTGTAAAAGCAACACTCTGAAATGAAATGAAACTGCCGCTGTGCTCCTTCTGCAGCTAATACAGCAATTTTATTTCTCATTAACCTGGAAGCACACGACATAAGCAGCGCTCTGAAGCTCCGACAAGACTAAAAATGAATGCACGCGGAGTTATGGAAAGGTTAAGAGAACAGCAGGAGAAAGTCGGTAGTTAAATCTGTCTGAAAGTCAGGCGCCCCAGTATTTGGTTAACAAAGTTGGTGTATTTTTGTGGCTGAACTTTCCTGCAAGGTTGATAAAATAGACCAGTGATTCTCAAACATTTCACGGCAAGAACCACGCCATAAAATATTTGTCTTTCCAAGTACCACCAGGACTAGATGAGTACTGAATCTGAACAGCTCAAACACACGACTCAAATGAAAAGTGACTATATTGACTTACCTGGTGCACCATGAGGGACTGCACCTGCCTCTTGAGCACCTGCATGCGGCCCACAGTGACCACGGAGCGCACGTCGGGCACCACGATCTCACTCAGGATGTCGCTGATCAGGCGGTGGTTCCTCTGGAAACGAGCGGCGGCCGCGTGCTTCACCGAGAACCCGTCGTCGTAATCTGAACACAAACACACACACACAAAGAGAAATATTCAGGCTCATATAACATTGTGTCACATAAAAATAAGCACTTAAACAGGCTCATCATTTCATTTTTTTCAAGAATCTAATCTCCGGATAGTGACACAAAATTCACTTTTGACCTTTTTTCTGCCGCACACTGGACGATTCTGAAATGTTCTGTTATTTTAAGATGTGACAAAGTGTGATGACCACAAATAAAAGAACAATTAAAATTTGGAGCTGTAACAGTGATGCAGAGAGATCGAGAGAGTGAGAGAAAGATCGTGGGAGAGATCGAGAGATATAGAGCGGGAGTGATTGAGACAGAGAGAGATTGATATAGAGAGATCGAGAGTGAAAGATCGAAATAGTGAGAGATCAAGAGAGTGAGGGAACGAGAAATCGACAGAGTGATTGAGAAATGTCGAGAGAAATCGAGAGAGAAAGATTGAGAAAGAAAGATCGAGATCAAGAGAAACTGAGAGATCCAAAGAGAAAATCTGAGAGATCGAGAGAGAGACTGAGATCAAGTGAGATCTAGAGAGATCGAGAGCGATCAACAGAGAGATCGAGATCAAGAAAGATTGAGTGAGAGATCGAGAGAAAGATCGAGACAGATCGAGCCCTAGGGGAGCCCTAGAGAGATTGACCAAGATCCAGAGAGATCGAGATCAAGAGAGATTGCAAGAGAGATCAAGAGATAGAAAGCTCAAGATAGAGATCGAGAGATTGAAAGAGGGAGACCTTGAGAGATCAACAGCGAGAGATCGAGATCAAGTGAGAGATTGAGAGAAAGATCGCGAGAGATCGATTGAGAGAAATCGGGAGAAACCGTGAGAGAGATCGACAGAGAGAAAGAGATCAAGAGAGTCAGAGAGATTGAGAAAAATTGAGAGAGAGATCGAGAGAGACAGACGGGGAGATTGAGAGAGATCGAGAGAAAGAGGATCCACTCCAGAGAGAGAGGGAAAGTGTTCAAGAGAGAGAGGAAGTACGAGCGGAGTTGCCCAGAGTTGTCGGAGAGGAAGTTTAGAGCGGCCCGAGCGCACCACTGTCACACTGAACGCACTTTTACTTCAGCTGCACGAGTGACAGTGTGAACATGACCTTAATATCAGATAAACTCCTCCAGTGCGTCAGGCGGCCTCACTGTTAAATCAGAGCAGCACACTCACCGTCCGGGTCCTCCGCGGGCTGGATGCTCATGTACGAGTCTCCCTTGTCCATGCGGCTCTGCCTCTGCCGGCTCTCCTCCTCCATGGCGGCCTCTGCGCGGTTCTTGGCGTTGATGTAGGCCAAGTACGCTGGAGAGTTGTGGTAGGCCTTCAGGGAGTCGTTGTACTCGATCTGAGAAACACAACATCAATGTAAAAGAGGTAAATAGCGATAAGACCTATGAGTTGTTTTTTTTTTTTTTAATGGACTTACCTTCTCGGCCTCGTACTCGTTGAGATAGTCCTGCTTCTCCTCGTCCGTCAGGTCCCTCCACATGCCCCCGATGATCTTGCCGATCTCCCACAGCTTCAGGTCGGGGTTAGACGCCTTCACTTGGTCCCATACCTTTGATTAATGCCACACAAGGACAAATGACGGAGCACCGAGAGAAGTCACGGTTATTACAAAGCATGAGAACCAAAGGAAAATATATAAAGATAGAAACTAAGAAAAGTTGGCATTAACAGTAGTGAAGAGAAATACAGGTTTGGGTTAGTTTGTGCTGAAGCGGCATCTTGGTGCAAAACGTAATTTATGTGTAATGTAATTTCATCTTAAGTTCAAATGTGTTCTTGGCAGAGACGGGTATTACATTTACTTACTTACTATAAATTCTAAAAAATACATACATTGTACTTCTGAGTACCGTATTTTTTGGACTATAAGTCGCACTTTTTTCATGTCCTGTGACTTATATATTAAAATGTTCACACTGAAGCGTCGAGAGGCTCTAGTCTTGTGTGTGAGTATCTGCTGCTCCTGTTCCTCCTGCACCACTGTCACTTGGCTCTACTGCGCATGTCTCCTGCAGAAAGAGCCTCTGTCCTGTCTGTATCATGTCAGTCGATCGCACCATTACTTCTGTACCACTGAAATTTTTTTATTTAAACAAACATACAACTGAAACCATCCTGTCGGGATTCAGAAAGGCCGAAATAATTCTAACTGGAACTGATGCTGAGTCTGACGACAGCAACACAGAAGAGGAAGCGGCGCTGTTTACCTCCGGAGGTCGTGGAGTTGCTCAGAAGTGACACCGAGGATGAAGAACTGAATGGATTTAGTGATTTGGAGTGAGATGGAGAGTTTGGTAAACTTGTTCCATTCTGTTGTTTGTTATAGTTTATCTGAAGAACTGTTCATATGTGACGTTAACAGTCTGTTGTTCTCTGTTCTGTTGTTTTTACTAGAACTTGACTTTCAACAGGAAATGTTGGTTCCCGGTCTCTGATTTTATAAAATAAATTTCCCCCAAAAAGAGAGACTTATAGTCCGGTGCAAACGAATGTATGTTTTTTCTTCTTCATTACTAATTTTTTGGCTGGTGCGACATACTCCGGGGCAATTTATTGTCCGAAAAATACGGTACTTTTCTAGCTGCATACTTTTACTCCTATTTGAGTCATTTTTATTAACTCTTGGGTAAATGTTTTGTTTACTCTTCCCACTGTGAGTCAGTCTACAAGTAACAAAAGCTTTATGTTGACAGTAAGAATTGATTTGAACATTTGTGTTTCTTCCTTCAGATGTAATTTAGTTTGTCTAATTTTTGTGACTATACTTTGAAAATACCAGATTTTGCGCATAATTTCATGTTTTGTCCTACCAACTACATTAACTTTTACTCTTATTTCAGTAGTACTGGCTCCAAATTTAACTTTTTTACTCTTACTTGAGTCATTTCTTGGACTGGTACTTTGTAATATTCTGAAGTAAAGCTGGCTATTCCACACACCTCTGGTTTTTGGTACTGTAAAAGTGTAGTGATTGGACTCTCTATTGTGTCTTGGCATGTTTTCTTGTCCATAATGAGACAATAAAACCTAATTTTGACTTAACTACACTTTTCACGTGTTCAGTATTTGTGTATTTGTGATCCCCATGCAACGTGTTTCCTGATATGAGCCGGTGCACAACCAGATTTACAAAAGGACAGGGGGAAATTTCAGAGCAGACAGATGTAGGGCTGAACGACTAGGAAAAAAATATATAATGCAAACTTAACATATTGTAAGTACAGTTCCAGTTGCTATATACATTCTGTTTTGGTTTTGTTCTGTTTTGTGCTCATCAAGTTCAATATAATTTGGATTTACAGCTAAACTAATGCTTTAATACATTCATTCAGAACTAGTTTGTACTTTTATAAGCCTTTATGATTTGCTTAATTTGAGTAAGGACGCACAAGTATCGATACTAGTGTCCAATATCTGCGCCGATCCAGGAACATTCGCTGGATCGGGTATCGGTTCAGCTCGGTTTATCCTGGTTTGTCTTTTTTTGGGATGTGACGAGACGATTTTCTAACAAATGTTGGCACAGGAAACGTTTTATACTGTTTGAACTTGTATTTGGGTCAATGACATGACGCCTGCATTTTCTGTCCCGTTGCAATTTTTTCAGTAAATAAAAGGTTAAAATCTCATAATAATTCACCACACATCTGAACAAAATCATTTTTTCACAAATCATTAGTGGCTGTTTTTGTACTTAAAGTGTTAAAATGTCAACTGCTGACTTTTAAACTTCTTTAAAATTACTCTAAACCTAATCAGATTTATTTTGAATGTTATTCTTCAGACATTTTTCTTAATTTTATGCATTTTACAGAGAAAAATCGTATGTTACTTAAGCACAAGCAGGTGACTGTCATATTAGACATCAAAAGAAAACATCAATATGCTTTAAAAATCAGAAGAAATGCCAATTTTTATACACTTCATATTACTCAGAACTTAGATAACGGTAATATCCCGATCATGTTTTGGAAAATAAAACAATTTAAGGTTATTCTCAGTCGCACCACATGACATTTTTTAAGGTCGTATCCAATTCATGTCCATAAAAAAAAAAAACACTAAAAACGCTTAATATAAATGTTAAACGTAGATTTATACAGACCTGACATTGTAAATATTTGAAAAAGTTCAACAGAAACAAATATTTTTTATATTTTAAAATTTGCCTGTTGAAAATCCTATTCGTCATTGACCCATTTATACAAATCTGCTGATAAATAACACAATTTGATGAATTTTGCAGCAAGTTAACCGTGTTTAGATGGACAGAAAATGTACTGTTTAGTCCCTACACTTGTAAATGTTGTGTTGGTATTAGTATCGAAACTGAAAAAGACCTGCCTCCCTGATTCAGACCACACAAATGCATTAGAAATAAAGGTGTGTGCCTGAATATCGTGATAAATCGGGGGCTGCTGTATCGATATATTACCATGACTAAATCTTGTTTTGACTGCTCATTTTGCTGCATATTTAGTGGGAAAAAAAAACTTGTTGATGCAGATTATTTGACGTATTCAGTATTCAGGTGTAATAAAGCGGTTCTGTTGTTATTTGGTTCTTTAAAAACTAATCTACAGCAGCTGAGTATCATGTGTTTTATCTATTGATTATCGCGTTTATCGAGAGTGTAATTCCCCGCACTAGTTATTCAGTCGTCCAGTCCTACAGAGGCACAGTTTTCTGGTTTGCGTGAAAGACAGGCGCTAACGCTACAAGGGCGTCGAGGGAGGAGAGGAGATAGGAGAGTGCGAGCGAGAGGTTGCGGCGGCGGAGGAGGAGGAGGCGGTGCTGAGGCGTCCTGGCTTGAGCTGGCTCCTCCCTCACACCCGGGCCGGAGGGCGGGGCTCAGGGGGAGGGGAGGACAAGCAGTAAAAGCAGACACCGTGGAGGGGTGTCTTACCTTCCTGCTTACCTTCCGGCTGTACCGCATGTAAGGCATCAGGGGCTTGTCTGGAGGCTTGGGAGGCTTTGGGACGGTGATCCCTGAGGAGTTCTGTAGGGGGCAGCAGAGAGAGGGGGAGAAGCAGAGGCAAATACTGTATAAAACAACAATGACCAAAACAAACAATACATCATAAACTGTAAGGACGAGAACTGTGTGGCTTTGCAAATCGGCACATCAGAGTTTAAACCTGGTTTGTTTAAGATTGGTACATACAAGTGAAAACATTTGATATATATTAATATTCAAAAGTGCTGAAAATACGGCTGCGCCACAAAATAATATAATTGTGATTTTTCTGACAAGTAATCTGAAATGATAAAGTCAGATAGGAATCACAAGCATTTCTAAACCACAGGTTCAATACAATTTTTATACATATCCCCGGCCTCAGACTGGACGTGGTGCAGCTCCACTCATGCGGCCTCATGTATTCAGTGTAAAAATGTGAATTATAAGTGACAAGAGCTCAGAGCGCACACAGAGCAGTTCGGTGGTGTTGAGGCGTTGCAGATCAATTACGTTGGGTGTGTATATTTGCAGGATGCCGAAGCCCACCACAGCCTTTTCCCTTAAGAAATGAATAGTTCTGGTGTGAACACGTGGTCTGTGTGCAGCTTCAAAGGTGGTGACAGAACCGCTGAGTCTCGTGTGTGCGTCACACAGCAGTAAAAGGAGTCTGAGCTGGACCAGGCTCAGTCTGAGCGAGGTGTAAAACGGGAGATTCAGCTTTTTGCAGAGGACATTGTGTTATCTAAAGAACTGCAGCCTTTGCAAATTGATGATCTTGTCTACTCAAACTGTGATTTTGATTTGACTGCAATTAATTGTGGACTACTCAGCTTTGAAAAAGCCTAAATGCCAATTTACAAAGTCACTCACACGACACAAATTAAAAGCCATTCATTAGAATTAGGGCTGGACAATAGGGCCAAAAAATAAAAGCTCAATTTTTGCAGACACTGGTCAATCATCATCTTAATTTGTTTTAATTGTCATTCTTATCAAATGCTATTATTTAAGAAATTGTAATGGCCTTCAGCTACATTTGTACAGACATCTCACTGTAATTAACTGCATAATGAAAGTCAGGAGTAAACTTGTTTCAGAGTAATCCCTGATTTCAAGACTTTGCCATTTTTTCAAAACCTGAATTATTAAAAATTTGATAAAATGTCCAGCCCTAATTATATTGTATGTTTACATTTCTCTGTCTCTTGTACAGAATATAGTCGTAATTGTAAACTGTACGAATTTAATACTTCATATTTCCTCCAAATGATCCATCCAGCTGTACTTGAAAACTAACAAGACTCAAATTTAAGCTTGTTTTTGTCGTGAATGTAAAGCTCTGGGGTCAGTTTAGATAACAGTATATATAAAATATAACAACATTGTGTGCGTCTGCAAAGCATACAAGCAAAATAGCCTTTGGCCTGGTTGTGTACAGTAAGTAGAGTGTAGTGTAAAAATGTAAGGATGTGTCCCGTGTGCGTCCCTCCCCCGTGGCCCCTGTGCTCAGTCCAGGTCCCTGGGTGGAGCATGCATTACCCTGCCGGAGCCTCCGGAGCTCCCTCCCAGCCGGAGGTTGTTGTAGGCCAGATGGCTGTAAGGGTTGTAGCCCACAAACCCCGGGGTGGAAGGCATTTGCTGATGGAAGACAAATGAGACAAAACACGAATGAGAAATGGGTCACAAACAAGAGGAGGAAGAGGGCCAACTCAAAGACGAGAAACTCATCAGAAGAAGAAGAAAAGGACTGTTTGACTTGTTTGTTTCTCAGTGACGTCATGCACAGGCAGAGGAGGCAACTCACATTCAGACGGAGGGCACAACATACAAAGGCTTTCTTACAATATAATCATTATTTTTATCACTATTTATATCATAACTGATCATGTATTAGACTTGGGCAACTGTTCAAAACAGAGCCTTACCACATGATTGTTATTTTTACTTAAACTATTATTTCTATTTTTATTATATAATCACACTGCACTGCTTCATGAAGCTTCTCCCACAAACTGAACTTGTGTTTTAATATCTGTTGTTTTATATGATGAGGTTTGTAACAATTATACTCAAACAGTTTCATTATTTGAGCACAGTCTAATCTCCTCACTGATTCATACTTGGGGAGATATTGATAAAAATGTATTTTCCATAGTCTCCATTTGTTGAAGTTTAATAATCAATGAGTGTAAAAGTCACAATTTAGCCAAGTTTAAATTATTTCCATTTTGATATTTAATAACTTTAGTGCTCGGCATAATGTCTGTGTTAAATCATTGTAATATGATTAATGATTATGTTAATTGGCCAAAGAAAATAAAGTAAAAACAACTAATCAGTCCCTTAATCTGCATTAATTATTATAAACTTCAGAATCAATACCCAGATTCTGCATATTTTCCAAAAACATTCATAAATATAAACTTAAAAAAACATACATCAACATAGACTACAGGTGGAAATTGGCTCTAGTGCTGCAACCTGGCACAATGCATCTCTCCTGTTAAAGTTAATGTTTAGGGATGTAACAATAACCGAAATATCGTGATATTGTATCATCAAAAGTCTCACAATATCGTAATACCAAGTTTCTTTGCTTAAATGCATTGTTTTACAGTAGCAACATCTCATAAACTTAGAGAACTACATATCCCATGATTCATTTCAGTTTAAACAACATGAAGAAATATGTTTTTGCTTGAATTCTTGGGATTGTGACAGAAATAATTCACACCAAAATCTATTAATGTAGATTCTGCACTGTCTGTTTCATAAATAAACTAAATAAATACAATATTATCCATGTTTTATGCCCATCTCTACCCATGGGTTTCAATTATGACATTTTCATTTTGAACAATAACAAGAAGTGCTTCATGGTGCTCGAGGCAGTGATGAAAATTAGAACAAATTAAAAGTTTTAAAGAGGTGCTCTGGGAAAGAGACTATTAAAGCACAAAAATAGACAAAACCGAGCAGACTGGCTTCATCGGGGGGATTTTTCCAACTTTGATTGATTGATTTGCTTTTATTTAACTTAAAAAGTGAACCTACGGGACAAAATGTAACTCAGACTTTTTGCCTCTTTGCTGTGCCCTGCCTCCTGAATGTAAAACACGACCAACCGTTTACGACAAGCATCTTTCCTTTCTGCGTCTATCCGAGTGAACGCATGCCAGAGAACTAAGCGAGAACTGACGCAACCGTTGCACGTCTTTAAAACTCAAACGTACTCAAAAACAACAACAACAACAACAACAGCAACACGGGAGAAAGTGAAGTTGTGCGGATGAGACGAGAAAAGGTGAGAAATGAAAGGAGCGGTGGAGCGTTCGAGACAGAGAGAAAGAGGGAGTGAGTGACAGACAGAGGAGAGGAGGGAGAGTGACGCCTTACCGTTGTTGGGGCGGGGGGAGGAGGGGGCGCGTACGAGGGCCGCTCTGCAAACAAATACAAACACCAAGACGGAATTTTAAACAAGTTACAAGCAGGAATCAAAATATGCTGTTCCATTTAAAGCATCTACACAAACGAGAATATGAGGTCGAATAAGACGTTTACAAGTTACATCAAGATTTTGTTATAAAGTTAAAGAAAAAGTTAAGAGTTCATGGGAATTGTGCGTTTCAAAAAGCATAAACCTGATTTTTCTGTGGTGTTCTCACATGCAACACTTGTAATACTGATTTATTCTTCGTTATTCGTGCTGTAATTTGGTGTTTTGGTTCTCAAGATGATCCAATTTGAAAACACTGAGCCCCACGTGAGTCTTGCCACTTCTATGACTAAAACCAGTCGGAATTAAGCTTAAAAGGACTCTGCAAATATTTGTGGTAATGTTGAATAAAACAGTGTTAATACAACTCAATACAGTTATTAATGATGGGAGATATACCGTATTTTCTGCAAAATTAGTCGCTCTGGATTATAAGGCGCACTGTCATTAAATGGTCTATTTTCGAACTTTTTTAACAAATAAACCGCACCAGACTTTAAAGGAAACACAACAGTGTGATGGGTGAGTGGTTTTGTTTGTTTGTGGCGTTCACGGTGACTCTGGGCTTTGTTCAGTTGTGGCGTGTAGGGAGGGTGCTGTCTGGGACCAACGGATTGTCGGCGTGTTCGCAGTGACTCAGTTGTTCAGTCGTGTCTAGAAGTGGCACATTGCACTCGCTTTTTTCAGTTCGTTCCTCCGTTACGTTCCTCGTCGGCGTGGAGTGATGAGTGTGTCTGTGGGTGTTTTTCGCCGTGCGGTCGCTGTCTGCTCCGTGTGTGTTTGCGTGTTCTGCGGGTGGTGCAGCTTTGTAGTTTACTGAAGTCGTGCTGGGACACCTGAGTGGATTCGTGTATAGGGCGCTCTGGATTGTGGGGCGCGCAGTCGTTTGTTGACGGGGTTGGAAGCTTAAGAGTGCGCCTAATAGTGCAGAAAATACAGTATATGTTCCAGTGTAAGTATCAGCCAGTATCTTAAGACCCACTTTTATTCTCTGGCTTTCAACATGGCATGAGTTGTGTGGTCCTCTGTGTCTTTTATTTATTTAATTTATTATTTTTATCTAGTTAAATTTTTTTAGTGCTGCTATTTTTTTTTTTTAAGTACTGCTTGATTTTTATTATTTTTGTTCTTTGTTTTATTATTATTATTTAATTTGATTAGAACATAATTCTGCTGATTTTTGTTTCAAGTGAAATGTTTTACACTGCTATGTAAACCACTTTGGAAACTGTCTTGTTTATAAAATGTGCTATACTGTACAAATCAAGTTGGTTTGGATATTCATATTCAATCCTGATATTTTTCCTGTCTCATTCTCCGTGTGTCAGTCCCAGTTTGTCCTCAGTGCATCAGATTTGTGTTTTTGAGCAGACGTATGAGTCCAAATCAAAATAGAAGAGTGTTATAAAGCAGGCGTATCAAACTCAAATTTACAGAGGCCAAAATTAAAAACTGGGTCTAAGTCGTGGGCCAAACTAAATATTTACTGAAAAATTTCAACAACATCTGCATGTTTTCTCTTCTTTCGAGATATGTAATGTTAAATCTTTTCTTATTTAAATAAATGTTTAATAATAGTTTTGCTTAAACATTTTTTGTTTGACGTGTCTGTTATAAAGTGTTTACCCTACATATAACTAATTATTTTATACTCCAGATAAACACATTGTTATTTTAGCAAAAGTAAAAAGGTAATTTGTGAACTTCACTTCAACTTAAAAGTTAAATATCTGTAGCAGTAGGCCAAATATCTGCATCTGCTCAACACAAAAACATTCCTATTCGTAAATATCTGTAATAGTTCTGAACCATGATCTGGTCAGATGTAGTTAAAGCCTTTATAAATCAATATTCTAAATGTTGTTAAAGTTTATAAATATGTGATGAATAGACAGACACGACAGAGAACCTAAACTATTTCTATCCTGAAATACTGCAGAACCATCAGCATGAATTCAGTAGGTCAGGGGCCTCCAACCTTTTTCCTCCACTTCGCCTTTACAAAACAAAAATGCCAGAGCGCTACTCATTTTAACGATCGCAGGAATTAAAGTGTACATAAGAGCCATGGCAAGACTTAGATGGGGTACAGTTTGATAAAACATAAACCATTATTAATTCATGAGGACACAAAATCAGGCATTAAAATGATAGTTTCAGATCAATAATGGGCAACAGACATTTAATTCTTCAAATTTGAGTTATTCAGGACAATACATGTAATTCAGAAATCCCTTGGTGAGCGACTTGAAAGGGGGTGGAGAGGTACTGGCAGCTCCCGAGCTACAGATTGGAGAAGCCTGCGCTGGGGTGACCAGAATTTAAAAATCAAAAACTGGGACAACCTCAGTTTGCGGTGCTTGGTAATAATAAAATTGTGAAACGAGTGCATAATTAAGGAAAACTGTTAAGCACTCAGCCCTAAATTGAGTCAGTATAGTCACATTTTCTTAGTGTTTTTGTCATTTTTAAGCAGCTTCTCTGTATTTTACCTAAACAAATGACACTTTAAGCCTCTCTTTACTGTTGGCAGGGATCAGATTTGTCAGAAATAGGAACACCAGGAACATTTCTTGTATAAAACTGGGACAAATCATTGTTTTTGTATAAATCTGCTGGGAACAGGGGACACAGGACTCAAAAGTGGGACATCTGGTCGCCTTAGACTTCACATCTCATTCATTCCGACAGTTTTGCTTACTTGACATTTTGGCTGAAATGTGAGCAGCTGTGCAGCCTCAGAACATCCTGGGAAAAACCTGCAACGACAAATCAACACATTTATGGAGTCTGAAAACAGAAAAACGGCGCAGTTAGTTGAATCTCCAACTTCAGACTAAATCCACATTAACACGTCTGGGCCAACAGCTGCTAAACCCAAACAAAGAAACCGGATACACGGACCTTTTTCAGTTATTTTAGTGATTTTGGACCATCTGTGAAAAGTATGAAGCAAGAACTAGCAATAAATAAGTCAAAATGGGGCTGTTTTTTTTTACTTTTGATGAGCAGGAGATCGGAGCAAAACTCGTCTGGAGATTAGACCGATAACACTGGCGTTAGCTCCCAGTTAGCCACACAGACAAAGCTATCGGAGCTATAAACGAAAAGTAAACAAATATGTCCACCCCGAACACGCTAATAAGCTTCCCTAGAGCCCGTTTAGTCCAGTGGAACAGACGGAGCGGACATAAAACACAAGAAAATGAGTAAAAACAGTAGATGAGTGAATGAATACTCACTCCGCCGCCCTTTGTCTGTGCGGTGCGCTCGTGCAGTGCGCTCGAGCAAGGCCGCGCGCGCCTCACGCTGCCGCCTGCACCGGAAACTGCAGCCTAAGCCCAGTCACGGGGACGCCTTTTCAAAATAAAATAAAGTAAATAATTATGGATTTAACGCGGATAATCTTTTAATGTATTTGTGAAATCTCATGAAAACACACAAATGACGCCGGATTTAAGTTATAATGTACAATTTTAAAAGGAACAAATTTCCACAAAATACATTTTAAAATCTAAACTGAGGACTTCCGCTCTGGCTCGCGGCAGTAAACATGGCGAATGGCTAAAAGTCGTTGGGATCACTTGGCCGTAAATGTTTGAATTATAGTTTTATTTTGGATATATAAACTAGTCTGTGCACAGGGGATTCCCTGTGGCTCTGCACAGGACTCTGTGCGATTATATCTCCGTCTGCTGAAAGGTAAAGCACGTTCTGGTGTGATGTTCAATTAGCCCAGTGGAAGTGAGCTAACATGCTGCTGCTGTTAGTCTGTGTAGTTAAGATGAGTGTCGCTTATTCTTTGGATTTCATGCTTACAAGTTGTTTTATACTTTAATTGAGTTATCTGCTGCTAGTCTTGGTCAAACAACAGCGTTCAGCCTTTGACTTTAGCACTTAAAGAGTGAATTAAGTATATTTCTAATTTTGCAACGTGAACGTTCAAATGAAATAGAGATTTTACTGTCAACAATTGTAAATTTAGTCTAAAAGCTTATTTAATGTGTTTAATGTGATGCGAAAACACCATTAGTCCGACCTGCTGTCTTTAAATATGATTGTAAAGAGGTGGAATAACAGTAAATGTCACCGAAACAAACCCAACTTAAAATCCAGTACAGCCAGATCTAAGTTTTATAATCAATAGAAGATTTACAGTTAATTTTTACATCATTAAATATATCAGCTTTTATCGACTATCGACACCTCCAACTCCTGTTTTATAAGTATCATATCAACCACAAGAGTTCATATCAGTCAGACCCTAATTGTGCTTATTTATTCTTCATTATTCATGTTATAATTTGTTTTGGTTTTTTTCTTAAATAGTGAATTAAATATATTTCAAATTTTTCAATGTGAACTTTCAAATCAAATAGGACTTTTACTGACAACAACAAGGCTTGAAGTGGTACTTTACTTACTTTATTTACTGGCTGGAATGTGATGCAAAAATGGCATTAGGCCGACTTACTGTCTTTAAATATGACTGTAAAGAGGCAGAATAATAGTAAATGTCACCTAAACAAACCCAATTTAAAATCCAATACAGCTAGACCATAAGTTTTATTTATTTATTTACAGTGAATTTTTACATCACTAAATATATCGGCTTTTATATTGGTTATCGACACCTCCAACTTTCAACGTTTTATCTGTATCATATCGGCCACAAAAAAATCCATATCAGTCCGGACCTAATTGTGCTGATTTATGCTTCATTATTCATGTTATAATTTGGTGTTTTGGTTCTCAAGATAATCCAGTTTGTCGTTTGACTTATGGCACTTAAATAGTGAATTAAATATATTTCTAATTTTCTAGGACGAAAATAAACCGACACAATGGGGCGACGTTCAACCTCTTCCACCAAGAGTGGGAAGTTCATGAACCCCACGGACCAGGCCAGTAAGTACCTCTCTCCCTCTCTCCCTCTTTTTATCGTGTAACAGCCCATTGGATCATAATGACACAGGTATAACACATCCTGCTTTGTCCCCACAGGAAAAGAGGCCAGGAAACGGGAGCTGAAGAAGGTTTGGCATCTCAACAAACAAACAAACAAATGAATGAATATTTGAGTTGAGACTTACACAGGGGATAATTGACATATGTTTTTTGTTGCTCTGACAGAACAAGAAGCAGAGGATGATGGTGAGGGCAGCGGTGCTGAAGATGAAAGACCCCAGACAGATCATTCGAGACATGGAGAAGCTGGACGAGATGGGTGAGCTGGAATTATGGTTTGTTAAGGTCGACCATAGAGGGAAAAGTAAAAATCTAAATTCTCACGCTCATCAAATTAGACAGCGGCCATCAGGAAAACATGACACAACTGGGGTAGACACATAAATATTCAAGTTTAGTCTGATAATTTTACAGCCAAAACTTCAGGAGAATGGATTATGGACCTGTACAACATTCACATTATAACAACTTGAATCATAATCAGTGGATTTAACGGGTATAATGTTTCTTTTACATGTTTTTAGCAGCTGTTGTTTATTTCCATGCCAACAGAATTTAACCCGGTGCAGCAGCCTCTTCTGAACGAGAAGGTTTTGAGGGACAAGAGGAAGAAGCTGCGTGAGACGTTTGAGCGAATCGTGCGTCTCTACGAGAGGGAGAACCCGGAGATGTACAAGGAGCTGCGCAAACTGGAGCTGGACTACGAGAGCAAGCGCGGACAACTGGCCCTCTACTTCGACTCTGTCAAGGTACGCTACATCAATATAATTGTATTTACGGTATGCTGTATAATGTTAAATGTGTAAAGCTAACTGTGTATTCTGTCTCTTCTACTCCATGAGGCCTTTTTATGTATATGCATATCTTAAAAAAAATCTTATATTAGGACTTAAATCTTGATTTTCAAACAGAGTGCATATGTACGTTGCAATAATAGCACACTATGGAAGGCTGTAATCACAATTTATATAGCATAAAAACATTTATGTGCATCTGATAAACTACCGTATTTTCCAGACTATAAAATGCTCCAGAGTATAAGTCCCACCAGCCAAAAAATGTCTAATGAAGAAGAAAAAAAACATATATAAGTCGCGCTTTTTGGGGAAATGTATTTTGTAAAATCAGAGACCAGGAACCGACATTTCATCTTGAAAGGCAAGGTATAGTAATAACAGCAGAATAGAGAACAACAGGCTGAGTAGGCGTGAATATGTTAACGTAACATATTAACAGTTCTTCAGATAACTATAGCATAAACAACATAACAAACATAAGCTTACCAAACTCTCGATCTCACTCCAAATCCATTGAATTCTTCATCCTTGGTGTCACTTCTGCATGACCTCCAGAGATAAACAGTAGATCCATCATGTAAACAGAGCGAGGGATGGTTTCGATTGTCATTGAAGTCCAGGATGGATGGACAAACATCCATCCAGTGACTTCCAGGAAAGTTTCATGGTGCACACTCCCGGTTGCCGTGAAGCTGTGTTCTCCATCCCACATCCCACAAGTTTCTCGCTCACTCCAAACTTTCTTTCTGCTGCTCGATTACCGTTTTCGGCAAAATATTTCACTGTTTGCAATGAGACAGTGGCTATTTCTACAGGAGACATACACAGTAGAGTGAAGTGACACTGGTACAGAAGTGAAAGTAGTACTTGATACTGACACACGAGTCTAGAGCGCCCTCTTGAGGCAGTCAGTCTGAAAATTTTAATATGCAAGTCCCACCAGAGTATAAGTCGCAGGACCACACAAACCATGAAAAAAGTGCGTCTTATAGTCCGAAAAATACAGTAGATTTCACAGTAAGGTTAAGGTAATTTCGGGATTCTACCATGTGTATTAGGAATTTAGTCTTACACATAGAACAATCACATAATGTCTCGTAATTTCTCCTAAATTCATGTTACTGAGGCACAATGTACAAATGAGCTGTCATAGTAATTGTGCGGTATAACAATCTGTTTTTTCTGCCTTTTCAGAACGCAGAATCGGTGGAGGTGGACAGTATTCCTTTGCCGGACATGCCCCACGCTCCATCCAACATCATGGTCCAGGACATCCCACTGCCCGGAGCGCAGCCACCGTCTATTCTGAAGAAGACCTCTGCTTTTGGGTGGGTGCACGTAGATGTTCAAAAAGTTTAGACTGAAGAATGCAAATAAGTCTCTGTACCTCATTTTTACTGTCTTTAAAAATATGAAAAACAGAAGTAGTTCATTTTTAATAGTGTGCAGTGGTCCGAAGTTATTCCTTATGCATTCTGAACATCCTAATTATTCACCTCAATGAGTTTATAAGCACTTCTCGGAACTTTCACAGACCAGAGCGGTTACTTAATTACATGAAAAAATTGGTACAGGCCCTTTAACTGTGTCTACAACAACAGTAATGATTTAGTTTATTGTGAAATGGCGTGTTGTTGATGTGTTCTGTGATTGCTGGTTTTCACAGGAAGCCCCCCATGATGCCTCCTCTGCCCAGCATCCCACGTCTGCCTCCAGGAAAAAAGCCCCCGGGCCCCCCTCCCGGACCCCCTCCACCTCAGATCCTCGCTCTGTACGGCATACCAGCTCGCCGCATCTACGGTCCAGACGCAGGTAACGCAAACACTCCTGTATTTAAAGCAGGCGGCCTCGGGGAACGTGCTTGTTTTGCCGTACTATAATAAAGTTTAAGTTAAAGTTGGCAGGATGGTGTTGGGTGTTTTGCACTGACTCACACGCACAGAGGAGGAAATATGAAGTGCAGTGAACAAAACCTTAACTTCGGAAAAAATCTGCGAAAACATATCCTTGAATCCTAATGGTCAGTCTAGTGTGGGTTGTAGTGGCCCCCACCTATCACAGTCTCTGTTTAAATGTGAAAAACCGAGCCGTTTCTAAAGGTCGTCAAGTCACGTCTTTAGTGAGACAGCGGAGGTGTTAAAAGTCGTCATTAAGGGAACAGGGGGTTCGTCAGATTTCGTCTTCATGGGGGAAAGAGTTAACCAACAAATGTTTTCTTCATCAAATCGATCATTTGAAAAGCCCAAATCACATGTTAGACAATAATAAAGCATAGTATGTCTGTTGTTGTATGCTGGTAATTATGAATTAAACTCTAAAACAGTGGCTTAGTAAGAGCAGAGGTCTCCTAATCTGAAGGTCGGAGGGTTGATTCCTGCTCAGACCAAGTTCTGTCATTGTGTTTTTAAGCGAGACACTATGAAATGGCGAATATGAAAGTGGTGTGTGTGTGAGTGTTGGTGGTGATCGGAGAGGCTGATGGTGCAGATCGGCAGCCTCGCTTCCGTCAGTCTGTCTCCACCACCCAGTATGGTTTGAACGAGAACAGTGCAGCGTTTTGAGGAGCTTTGAGGAGCCCGTAACACGCATTACATGTTTAAGTGTTATTAAAATTCTCCCTTCTCTTCTCTTACAGACTTGCCTATCCCCGGGTTGGACAGAGACAGAGACAGGGAGAGGGACAGGGACAGGGACATGGACCGGGACAGGGATCGGGACAGTGGCAGTGACAGTGACCGAGGCAGCGGCAGCGACTCCGGGGAGGACAGTGAGGACGACCTGGACAAAGCTGGAGACGAGCGGAGGACGGAGGAGGACACAGGAGGGGACAGACATGCTGGTGGGTTATGCTCATGTTATTTTAGTTCCTAATGCCAAGTGTGTGATATAATAATAAATAACAAAGCTTTATAATCTTAAGTGTCTTTCTCTGTGCCTGTAGGACGTAGGATCCGTTTCGCAGACATGCCTCCAGACGCCTCGCAAGAAGGAAAGCAGAAGAAGAAACGGTTGGTGAAGAAGACCAAGGCCATCACTCCTCTGCAGGCCATGATGTTGAGGATGGCAGGTACAGTCCACAGCCCAACTCTACTTCGATCACAATCTGGTTGTTTGCGCGTGATTCATAGACTTGTCACTAGAATTACTATATCGACTTAATTGACGATATATGAAACTGTTTTTTTTTTTTGTCCCATCTATCGATCGACATGAAAAAAATGTCACAGATCCAAATTCCATATTCAACAACATGAACGAACCACTGTATACTGTATTTTTCAAACTATAAGGCGCACATAAAATCCATTAATTTTCTCAAAAATCAACATTTTGCGCCTTATAATTCTGTGCGCCACATGTACAGTGTTGGGGAGTAACAGATGTACCAGAGTTACGTAATCAGAGTACAAATTATGAGTAACTGTATTTGGTTACAGTTACTGTTTACGTGAGTGGTAATTAGATTACAGTTACTTTGTTGAAATAAATGGATTACACAGAGGTATTTTCCTGTTTTCACATTTTGGGCTATATATATATTTTTTTTTTTTTCGGTAAATCCACTTGTTGCCGGACACTAAATCAGGTCTAAAACCAGGTCTAAACTAGGTCTAAACTAGGTCTAAAACCAGGTCTAAAACCAGGTCTAAACCAGGTCTAAACCAGGTCTAAAATCAGGTCTAAAATCAGGTCTAAACCAGGTCTAAAACCAGGTCTAAAACCAGGTCTAAACCAGGTCTAAAACCAGATCTAAACCAAGACTAAACCAAGACTAAACCAAGACTAAACCAAGACTAAACCAGGACTAAACCAGGACTAAACCAGGGCTCAAACCGGATTTAACAGGACTAACTCATGCCGTGCGGACCGTGTCTCCTCCTCTTCTATCAATAATATTTTTAATACCTTTAAGTAAAGTCTGGGCTTTTTTATTGTCTTTTAACAGACAAAACATCTTATGTGAAGATTTCCTCGTCTTTGCTTCTCTACAGCAAACCAAGTAATCCAAAGTATTCAGATTACGTTACTCACTTTAAGTAATTTAATGGATTACGTTACAAACTACATTCTGGTGTATGTAATCTGTAATCTGTAGGGGAATACATTTTAAAAGTCACCTTCACAACCCTGCATATGTATTAATTCTGGTTGTGCTTACTGACCTCAAACTGATTTTATGTGGTACACGGCGCTCAAAAATCTGTCAAAATGTTTTAGTACGACTTTGGTAAACTGTCAGAAAATAACAGAGAGGGACAGAGGCGTTGCCACCGTCCAACGTCACGTATTTATTGATCACACAGGTTACGAGAATAAATGGGCGGTTACATTTTTCTATCACAGTAAAAAAAAAAACACAGAGAATAAAGGTGTGTATTGTGTGTGTGTGTGTGTGTTGTGTGTGTGTGCCAGCTGCTGAGGTGTAGGGAGGGATGTGCGTAGGGACGACTGTCCTTACGGAAGATAACAACTAATGAGAAGTTGGTTTTCCCATGAGAAAAACACTTTGAGAAATACCCTTTGATGATAATAATAATAAGACAAAGAAGCAATGTACAGCATTTGGAAAACTCTTTAACATAAACTATGAAGTAGAAGTCTGCACGGGACAGAATTTTCATCATTCCTGCTCCCGCCTGCAAAGAATTGTAATTTTCAATCCCATCCCCGCCGACAAATCTTGCAAGACGGGGACGTTCGCTTTCTTAAACTCTATCAAACATGGAGAAGCGGAAAGGAATTGTCAAAAATGTGTGCGAGGTTAGACCACATCTGCAAGTTTAGGCTGCTTAAAATGTTTTTATTAATGCCAAATAAAATATCCAGCTCAAAAGATGTATAATATGCATACATTAATCATTTGTATATTTTACTTTACACTCATATTTAGTTTGTGGGACTGCATTTTATCATCCCATCCGCCCACTCCCACATTGCTCCAGGCCGCGCCCGCAATGAGCTTCCAATTTGAGTCCCACGCCGCACTTTTTTACGCCGGTGTTTGAAAATAGACGAGAGAATTCAACATTATTGATATTGGGCCTTATAGTCAGAAAAATACAGTAATACTATTGTTTGTGTTTCAGGTCAGTCCATCCCCGAGGAGGACGAGGAGGAGGAGGTGGAGGAAGAGTACACGGACGACTCTGAAGGCTCGGACGCAGAGGACAGAGGACCTCCAGGGGACGTCCAGGCTCAGCTCATGTCCCAGAGACTCCCTCCTCCGGGGGGACAGCCTCCGCACATGCAGGGCCCACCCATGACCGGGCCCCCGCCTCTGGGACCACCTCCAGCTCCCCCCATGAGACCCCCCGGACCTCCATCCGGGCCTCCTCCAGGACCACCTCCAGGTTGGTTGTCAATCTATTGACAATTAACAAAATAAAACATTCTGCAATTCAGGTGACGAGACAAAATTGAAGTGGGACGTTATGTGATTTCACTTGGAATATTTTATTTGTCCATTCGCAAATGAACCAGTTATAAAGACTTAAAACTGTTGTAGAAGTTTTCACCTTGTCCAAAAAAGGGTGGAAGTAAAAGGCTGGAGATCAACTGGACGTCTTAAGCAGGAGAAGTTAATTTCCCATCAATAATACAGGCCCGGGGGATCTTGAAAAGTCAACATAGTGTGATTTCAAACGTGTACATAGTCTGATCTTTGAGTGTTCAAGCCCCTTTTACTCTGCTTCCAAGGGAGGAGGTTTATAAAGCAAGTGGTGACACTACGAAGGCCAGTAGACTCCAGTTAGTCAGCAATATGCCACAGTTTAGATAATGGTCTGCCAATGGTGTGCCAAGAGAAGATCATGGTGTAAATAAAGCTTTTGTGAGTCAATGTTAAACTGAGATGTACGTGGAAGATAAATTACATAAATTCTCTTACAAAAACTATGGCTGTGTATCATTAAGACGTTGCAAATATCTCAATACATAGGCCACAAAGCGATACGTTTTGACAGGTGTAGTTTCTGTATAAACAGTAGTTTTTGCATGAACTCCCCCTGCAGGTGTAGTCTTGTAGTTTGGGTCAGATGCATAGACAGGGTAGCCGCGGGATCTTAAAAGACTTAAAAAGGTCTTAAATTTCATGCTCCTAAATGTAAGGCCTTAAAAAGTCTTAAAATATGTTGTCCAAGTTATTTTTTTTCACAAAGGTCTTAAATTTCATCAGCCTATTTTTTTGTAAACTCAACTGGGCTGCAGTGCGATGTTAAAAGGAGAGAGGAAAAAACAACAACGTGAAATCATGTAATGTGAATGGAGTGTTTGCAAACAAAACTTGGATGGATCATGGGGAAGTGAAAGTTTAATCCACAGTGGCTCTTAAATTTTAGATATAATACCGTAGTTGGTTGGTCATCAATAAAATTGGATCTGGTGTTTTTCGCCCACATAATGAGTGCGATGTTGGTCTTCATTTTCATTTAAGTGGTCTTAAAAAGGTCTTAAATAATTTGGGGTTGTCAAACGTGGGGATACCCTGATAGAGATGCACGTAATAGTTTTGAGAGGAGCTTTCTATTAATCAATCAGCAGAACAACAATTTCTTTATTCAGCTACAGCCGGAGCATTTAGGTCTGATGTCAGTTAATTCTTGCAAATGTCTTATGATTATTATTGAAAATTAGTTTTTTGCCTCCAGTTTCTTCCATTCTGAAGCATTATAAATTTACACTGGGTCATTTAATGAGTCTATTTGACGTTGCTGAATGACAAAATGTCTGTTGATGATAATGGATGATGATGATGATGATGTTGTTGTTGTGTGTCGCGTTCCTCAGGCGCTCCTCCCTTCATGAGGCCTCCTGGCATGCCCGCTGGTATGAGAGGTCCAGTGCCCCGTATGCTGCCCCCGGGACCTCCTCCAGGCCGACCCCCGGGCCCCCCTCCCGGCCCTCCTCCAGGTCTGCCTCCAGGCCCCCCACCGCGAGGACCCCCGCCCAGACTGCCACCTCCAGCACCGCCGGGTAAGAACTCGCAGTTTACATTCAGTCAGGAAATCACACAAGCAAGACAGCATTTTTTTTTTTTAGGAACATCAAATTTGTAGATTTTCACCTCATTCAGGAGCACTTTAGATGTGAGTTCTGGCAGCACGTTGTCTTCCTATTGTATATTATTGAAATTGTATATATTGAAATAATCCCAGATACTATAGAGAAAATATATACTAAAAGGTATGAAAACAGAAAAAAAAAATCACATAAATGACAAAATTGGACTTTGAATAGTTTAAGAATCTTGATCTATATGAAAACTACTATAAGACTACATGATGAAATGTTGTCTATTATACAGGCATTTTGTTGTTTTGTTTTATTATTTTTTGTATAGTGGTATTGAAAATTGAGCCTTTTACTTGATATTGAATAACTTTTTGTATTTGTATCTCAAACCTATATCTTATACTCATTTGCTACAGGTTAAAGCCACTATTGAGGTCATAATAACAGGGTTAGATTCAACTCCAATAGACCTTTTTCACAAAGGCTGGAAGTCCTGCGCTGTAGGTTTGCAGAACGTCCGGTTAATGTTTTTTTATGGCGAAATATCTGTGTAAATGTCTTGCTTATTCTCCAAAGGCTTCATAAATTTGCCCCATCACCAAATCTTCAACCAACAAAGGATAAACATTCTTCCATGAAGAATTTATCCACAACTATCAAGGTAAGAAAGACGAAAGCTTAAAGGCGAACAATGACGAGGCATTAGTGAAATACTGAGCAAAACTAACGTTACTGTCACCAATAACATAAGTAATAAGTAATTTATTAAAAAGTAACTTGTGAACTCAGACTGATTCTGGAATTAAAATTAAAAATCCATTTCATGGTGTAGATATCTGCATAGATAGACTTGTGCAGTTTGAAATTGAGCACATACCTGTCTGTGTCTGTGTATGCTAATATCGACAGCATGAAATCGGTTTTAATTCTGGAATCAGTCTGAGTTACTAAGATACTTATGTTTTATTCATGATCAAAACATTAGCTCACTAATGCATTGTCGTTGTTCACCTTTAAGTTTTCGTCTTTCTTCCCTTGATAGTTGTTGATAAATTCTTCATGGAAGAATGTTTATCCTTTGTGGACCTTGTCGGTTCAAGATTTGGTGATGGTACATATTTATGAAGCTTTTGGAGAGCAAGTGAGCCATTTTCACAGATATTTTGCCACAGAAAAACATCAACCGGAAGTTCTACAAACCTACAGCGGGGCATTTCCAGCTCTTGTGAAAAAGATCAGCCACGTCTGATATGCTCAGTTTTTTATTTCAATTGGTCATAATAGTAAATCGTAATAAATCACTTTGGCAACATTTGAGTTTGTATTTAGTCTGTTTACAAGTTGTAAATTTTCTGACACTTCGTCCTCGTGCCATCACAGGGATGCCCCCTCCTCCTCCTCGTGCGGGCGGCCCCCAGCGCCCCATGGCCCCTCCCATGTCCATGTTCCCCCCTCCCCTCAACGCCAACGTCCTGAGCGCCCCTCCCAGCATCGTGCCGCGGCAGAAGGCGCCGGGCTCCGCGGGCCAGGACGTGCCGCAGACCTCCATGCCCCCTCCCCCCTCCATGCCCATGCGTCCGGGCGGGATGCAGATGCCCCCTCCCCCTGGCACCGCCGGGGCCACCATCGAGAAACGCGCCAACATCACCGCGGCTGCAGGGGGCGCCGCCGCCACCATCTCCGCCAAGCCCCAGATCATCAACCCCAAAGCGGAGGTCACCCGCTTCGTGCCCACGGCGCTGAGGGTGCGCAGGGACAAGATGGGGCCCGGTGCGGGGTCGGCGGATAAGGGGTTAGGAGGGATGGGAGTGCGGCGGGAGGAGCTGATGGTGGGCGGGCACGGGCACGGGCATGGGCACGGGCACGGGCACAAACACCACGCCCCCGCCGCCTCCATGGTGCACCCGTCACAGATGGGTGCCGTGGCTCAACCCAACATGAAGACCAAGGACCAGGTGTACGAAGCCTTCATGAGAGAGATGGAGGGACTGCTCTGAAAACACAAAAAACACAAATGGTTCTACATGAGTTTGGTTCAAAAGTGTGTATGACTGTTAAAGAAACACTGTGTGACATTGGCTTTAGTTTAGTTTGGATTATGTCGTAGATATAGAACTGTAGATCTCATGTTCAGCCTCTTGGTGTTAATACCGCCGCCATCTTGGTACAGGGGTTCTGTCGTCCAAGGTAAGGTTTTTCACAGTATCAGCGAGCGAAGATGCCGGGTACGAACATGTGAATGAGCGAAATAAGAAGACGAAAGAGCAAAGCAAAACATTTCATAGGTATTTTTATTTATCATTTTATTTTGTAGGCCTATGATAATGTGTTTTGAACCCAGACTGACTGAACCCAGGTCTAAACCAGGCCTAAACCAGGCCTAAAACAGGCCTAAAACAGGCCTAAAACAAGTCTAAACTAGAGCTGAACCAGGACTGAACCAGGACTTAACCAGGACTGAACCAGAGTTAAACCAGAGTTAAACCAGAGTTAAACCAGAGTTAAACCAGAGTTAAACCAGAGTTAAACCAGAGTTAAACCAGAGTTAAACCCGCTCTGAACCCGCTCTAAACCAGGACTAAACCAGGACTAAACCAGAACTGAACCGGGTCTAAAACAGGTCTAAAATCAGGTCTAAAACCAGGTCTAATCTCAGTCTAATGAGCGCCACACAATGCTACTTTGTCTGATATCGCCTTGTTTTGAAACCAGACTGACTGAACCCAGGACTGAACCCAGGACTGAACCCAGGACTGAACCCAGGACTGAACCCAGGACTGAACCCAGGACTAAAACCAGGACTAAAACCAGGACTAAAACCAGGACTGAACGCTGTCTAATGGGTACCACACAATGCCACTTGGTCTGATATTGCCTTGTTTTGAAACCAGGTCTAAAACCAGGTCTTGAACCAGGTCTAAATCAGGTCTGAACCAGGTCTAATGTGAACCACGCGATACTACTTGGTCTGACATCGCCTGTACCAAGACGACGGTTTTGTTGACACATTCGTTCCAATAAACAGCCTTAGTCAATGTGAGACCTACCGCTCTATATCTGTACTTTTACCTACTTTAGGTGACTACGGCCAGAGTAGTAGTTGTAAAGAAATTCTCGGCCCACTGAAGACATGTCCTGCTTGTCACCATGACGATCTTGGTGCTTTGCCCGGAATGTTCTATATCATTAAACTTTACCTCTCATGTATTCAGTTGCAGCTGTTTTCATTGCTTTCAAAACACCTTGAAAAACAAAACATGCGATGGACTCTTACTGTGAAAACATAATGCCATACCGTGGAACATTCTAGGCACAGCAATGACATCTCCATGGAAACAAGAAGATTTACAGTATAAAGGTTACATACATTACGTTGATTTAATTATGTGTCCAAAAGTTTTGAGTCTAGAACACCCGATTTTGACGAACCAAGATTGAATTTCTCTTGATTCACTCTTAAATTTCACAGAGGTCGTACTTCCTGTGTAAAAGTGAACATTTAAGTTTAAAGTTTATGAAGTAAAGCGACTATTTACAATTTTTTTTCTGCCGTACCTTTAAAAGTTATACACAGGCAGAAGAAAACTAACACGTAACAGTATCCTGCACTAACTGTAGGATCTGATCCATCTTTATGCTCCTCCGAACCTGGTTTTTCATGTGATTTTTTTGTATAATTGTATTTCGTTTCGTTCGTTTATTTTATTTTAATTGTAGTCCCTGCACCTTCAAACATGCTGTAGGTGTGGGATGATTGTCGAGCCTCGGCAAAGAAGGCGTAGGTGTACACTTCTGCAAATGTTAGATCTGCTGCCCAATAAATGCTCATTTTGTTTTTAACTTGTCTCTTTTCTGTTTATTTACGTCCCCGCCTTTTTATTTGTACTGATTTATGAATGACTGAGGTAAGAAGGTACGATTACTGGCTTGCTGGTTTCTGTGTGGAGCTTGGATGTTTCTCCCTGTGTCTTGGACGGTTTCCTCTGAGCTCCAGTTTCTACCATCGACCCAAAACATGCACAATAGGTCAAATCTTACAGCTGTTAAGGTAGATCTAACCAAGAACAGCTCAAGATTTGGAAGTGTCCTTGCAACATTTAAGGATGGATAGCGTAGGAGAAATATCTGTGTATCGTCCATTCATTTGTTTTTTTTAAATAAAACCAAAAATAAGAAAACGAAAAAACAAAACTGCTATTTTCTTCATTAAAATTAAAATTTTAAAATGGGTCACGGTTCGTTTTTTCAGTTTTCGATTTTGTGTTTAAATGAAAAATGTTTTTGCCGGACTTTTGTGCCGCATACGGATTGAACCAGGACTAAACCAGGACTAAACCAGGACTAAACCAGGACTAAACCAGGCCTGAGTGTCGGGATGGGCCCAGAGGTACACTGTTGGGTGATCACGACTGAGACCAAGACCTGGAGTATTATCTGTTACAGGGTGAGTTGTACAGTTGTAGGGAGTATTATTTCTTACATAGTGGTGAGTTGTTGTACAGTTGTAGGGAGTATTATCCGTTACATAAAGGTGTGTAGTTGTATAGTTGTAGGGAGAATTATCTGTTATATAAGGGTGAGTTGTTGTACAGTTGTAGGGAGTATTATCCGTTACATAAAGGTGTGTAGTTGTATAGTTGTAGGGAGAATTATCTGTTATATAAGGGTGAGTTGTTGTACAGTTGTAGGGAGTATTATCTGTTACATAAAGGTAAGTTGTTGTACAGTTGTAGGGAGTATTATCTGTTACATAAAGGTAAGTTGTTGTACAGTTGTAGGGAGTATTATCTATTACATAGTGGTGAGTTGTTGTACAGTTGTAGGGAGTATTATCTGTTATATAAGGGTGAGTTGTTATGTACAGTTGTAGGGAGTATTATCTGCTACATAAAGGTGTGTTGTTGTACAGTTGTAGGGAGTATTATCCGTTACATAAAGGTGTGTAGTTGTACAGTTGTAGGGAGTATTATCTGTCACATAAAGGTGAGTTGTTGTACAGTTGTAGGGAGAATTATCTGTTATATAAAGGTAAGTTGTTGTACAGTTGTAGGGAGTATTATCTGTCACATAATGGTGAGTTGTTGTACAGTTGTAGGGAGTATTATCTGTTACATAAAGGTAAGTTGTTGTACAGTTGTAGGGAGTATTATCTGTTACATAAGGGTGAGTTGCATAGTTGTAGGGAGTATTATCTGTCACATGAAGGAGAGTTGTACAGTGGTAGGGAGTATTATCTATTACATAGTGGTGAGTTGTTGTACAGTTGTAGGGAGTATTATGTGTCACATAAGGGTGAGTTGTTGTACAGATGTAGGGAGTATTATCTGTCACATAAGGGTGAGTTGTACAGTTGTAGGGAGTATTATCTGTTACATAAGGGTGAGTTGTACAGTTGTAGGGAGTATTATCTGTCACATAAAGGAGAGTTGTACAGTGGTAGGGAGTATTATCTATTACATAGTGGTGAGTTGTTGTACAGTTGTAGGGAGTATTATCTGTTACATATGAGCGAGTTGTACAGTTGTAGGGAGTATTATCTGTTACATAAGGGTGAGTTGTACAGTTGTAGGGAGTATTATCTGTTACATAAAGGTAAGTTGTTGTACAGTTGTAGGGAGTATTATCTGTCACATAAAGGTAAGTTGTTGTACAGTTGTATGCAGCAAGGTATGAATGTAGTCCTCTATCTCTCAGTGAGCTCCTTTTTTGAGCAATTAAAAACACTTGTATAACTAAATAAACGCAACATAAGTTTTATACCATAATGTCACAATAATTCATAATTTAAATAGTAATAATCTATGGGATATTTTAGTTATTTAAATGTTCTCTGTGAGTATAATGAACAACAAATCCCATGCTTCTTTGCGGTCCGGGTCTGAGCCGTTTCCGCTCATGCGCAGTTCGGACCTGAGTACACGTTTGGCGGAGCAGCATGGCGGACGACAGCGAGAGAAGCGTGAGTCCAAACACAGCTGATCCGGACCAGGGTTCGAGCAGCGAGGACGAGAACAACAACGAGACCGGGGACGGAACCGAACCCGCCGCGAAGACCTTCAAAGAGCTGGTGAGGTTTAGTTCGGGTCCAGTAATGTTCTGAGCAAAACAAGAACCACCGACTCAACGTAACAATTTCATTATATAAGCACGAGAGAGTAGCTAGACTGATAAAACACAGGATTTCCAAAGAATTAACCATTAATTTAGTCATAAAATCATAATTCATTCGTTAATAATGACGTATGTTGAGATTCTAGAAAGACAAACACTGCACACTTCTTCTAACTTAAGCTTTGGTTCCTTTAAAATAAACTTTATTATGGTCAGAGTTGGGAAGGTTTTTTTAAAAAATGTATTCCCCTACAAATTACAGATTACATACCCCAAAATGTAGTTTGTAACGTAATCCATTAAATTACTTAAAGTGAGTAAAGTAATCTGAATACTTTGAATTATTTGGTTTGTTGTAGAGAAGCAAAGACGAGGAAATCGTAACATAAAGATGTTTTATCTGCTAAAAGAAAATGAAAACCCCAGACTTTACTTAACCAAATTAAAAATATTATTGGTAGAAGAGGAGGAGACACACACAGTGTGATTTAGTCCTGTTAAATCCTGTTTTAGTCTTGTTTTAGTCCTGGTTTAGTCCTGGTTTTAGTCCTGTTTTAGTCCTGGTTTAGTCCTGGTTTAGTCCTGGTTTTAGTCCTGGTTTTAGTCCTGTTGTAGTCCTGTTTTAGTCCTGTTTTAGTCCTGTTTTAGTCCAGGTTTAGTTCTGTTTAAGTCCTGGTTTTAGTCCTGATTTAGTCCTGGTTTTAGACCTGGTTTAGACCTGGTTTAGACCTGGTTTTAGACCTGGTTTAGACCTTGTTTAGTGACCAGCAATGAGTGGAATTACTGGGGGAAAAAAAGGGATGTAGCCCAAAATGTGAAAACAGGAAAATATCGCTGTGTAATCCATTTATTTCAACAAAGTAACTGTAATCCAATTACCACTCACTGAAACAGTAACTGTAACTGAATACAGTTACTCATAATTTGTACTCTGATTATGTAACTCCGGTACATGTAATCTGTTACTCCCCAACACTGATTATGGTGGAACTAAGTACTATTGTTATAGGGAGACCAGATTTACAAAATTTAAAAAATGAGAACATCCCTGGGTTGGGTTGGTTGGTATTAATAAAATTGTTATGTATTTGGCTCTAATGTGATTGAGTATAGTCACATTTTCTTTGTGTTTTGGTCAACTTTTCTGTATTTTACTGAAATAAATGACAGTTTATGCTTCTCTTTACTGTTGGCACGGATCAAATTGGTCAAAAATAGGGACACGTGGGACATTTCTTGTATAAAACTGGGACAAATCACTGGTTTTGTATAAATCTGCTGGGACAGGGGACACAGGACTCAAAACTGGGACAGTCCCGGGTAAATAGAGACGTCTGGTCACATAAAAAAATAAATCATTACAGACTTTGTGAGGACTACTCCCTGTACCCCACAGTCCCACGCCCCTGCTGAAGAAAGTTGTTCCACCAGGCCAAATTATAGGCCAGATCTGTGGAGAAGCAAGCCTGAATGAATGCATGTTTTAAAGAGGACTTTCCCCCCCCCCCTTAGAATACTTAAAACAAGAGTTTTTGATACAAAATAAAAATTCATGATGGAAAATTGTTCTAAACACATTCAGGGAAATTATTGGACTTAGACTTTATTGATCCACAAGGGAAATTATTTGGACACAGTAGCTCACAAAGAGTAAAAAATATAAATGGTAATAATAAATTCTAAGAAACATGTGTCAAATAAGGCATAATAGGGCCATCTGGGGCATTTTGTTGTATAAAACTGGGACAAATCACTGTTTTTTGGATAGATATGCTGGGACAGAGGACACAGGGCTCAAAACTGGGACTATCCCGGGTAAACAGGGACGTCTGGTCACTCTAAAACAAGTACTACTGTTGCTTCAAATGGATTTTAGTGTTGTACAAGTAAAACAATGATGTTGTGTCGTGAACAGGGGGTGACTGAGGTGCTGTGTGAGGCGTGTGATCAGCTGGGATGGAAGGCTCCGACGAAGATCCAGATAGAAGCCATACCTGTGGCTCTGCAAGGTGAGGAGAGGGCACCGATGAAGCGTGTTACATTTTACTACCAGTAAATGAGTGACTCTACACTGAAAAAAAAAAGTTGCTGGATTTGCGTAAAAAAGTTATGGACAGATGTTGCACGCAATAAAATTATGTTTAGGCTTTGAAACTTTTTTCGAACCCCTCTACACATATTTTTCTCGGAACATGAACATCACTTTTTCATGTTGATGAAATTTGAACAAATCATGCTGAATATGCATATTTATCTTATGGTACCTTATCATGAAATGTATAAGTATGTATAATTTAATTTAATTGATCTAATTCTGTAAAAGAATACAAAAACAGTCTTTAGTTTTCTACAGTTCTGTATTGTCTTAACAGAATCAAACACACAAGAGCACAGGGACAGAGACACACAGTTTGGAGCTGGACAGTGTGAAGATTTATTCCAGTGAAGAAGCTCTGGTCTCTGTGGACACAGAATAACACATGATGATCACATTCTGATGATCTACTCTGTTGTACATGTTTAAATACACTTAAAGTACTTATTACTACAATAATGGACCAGAACAGAAGAACAAGAACATTAGAAGTGTATCTGCAGAAACAAAACTCACCATGTGCTGCTTTCCTTCCTCTAAACACAGTAACAGGGAGGGCATCTGGTATAAAGTCTCCTAATGCCACATCACCCTGTAGAAACACGACAGCTGTTTCAATGTCCTGTCCTGTGTCCTGTTACATTTGAATTTTCCCTCCAAAAGTTTTGGGGAGGAGAATTCCAGAGTGAGGAGCCTCACTAGAGATTATAATAAAGTCATGTTTCCTCAACCTGATTAAAACATGCAGGTCTCACATCGGCCACAATCAAGCGATGTTTGTAAGATTTAAACATGCTTGACAGAGAAATGTAAAAAAGTGATGTTATTGTTGTCAAATTTGTTTTTGCAATTTGAGCAACCCCTCTCGGACCGTTTTTTCAGTGTATATGGGTTTTATCTCATTATATTTGTGGACTGGAGCAAGTACAGTGTCATATGGTTTTGGTTTGATTTCCGAGCAGGGTGAGCAGGGCGGCTGCGGGGTTTTAAAAGTCTTAAAAAGGTCTTAAATTTCATGTTCCTAAATTAAGGCCTTAAAAAGTCTTAAATCATGCTGTCCCAGTCTTTTTTTGTTCACAAAGATCTTAAATTTCAGTAGCCTATTTTTTTGTATAATCAGGCGGGCTGCAGTTCAACGTTAAATGGAGAGAGGAACAAAAAAACAACAACAACGTGAAATAACGTAATGTGAATGGGCGTCTAATTTTCTATTTTGTTTGCAAACAATACTTTGGTTTCTGGCGCCGGCTGCAATGAGTTAATTATCAGTTCCTTCTACACTGCCCAAGGCGCAAAGCTCTGGTCAGATCTGCTCACATCGCGTATGCATTTACTTCACATACATTACCACCGAGCGTCACCACCGAGCCGCCTGACATGCATACCCAGTTGAATTCCACACACTTTTGCATCACTGTATGCACACAGATTTCCTCCCGAAAAAGCTTGTTTAAACACGGAATAAAAAGTGAAGACGCTACACCACTTTTGTGTCTTCTGTTAGGATCGTCATCATATAAACGTAGCCTTAGATTGTAGATATACTGTAGTTGGTTGGTCATTATTAGAACTGGATCTGGTGTTTGCCGCCCACATAATGACTGCAACGTTGGTCTTTTCATTTAAGTGGTCTTAAAAAGGTTTTTAAAAAGTCTTAAATTTGGGGTAGTCAAACCCGGGGATATCCTGCGACCACACAGCTCTCACAGTGTTAAAAGCCAGAGAATAAAATGGGTCTTAAAAAATCAAGGCTTCTCAATCATAACTCACCAATTTAAACATCCCAATTTTGATTTAGTACTTTATTCTTCTCAGTATGTGCTCCTACTAAAAACAGCGACAAAGAACTACAATCAGAAAATAAGAATGTTTTTGTTATTGTGAATAAATAACATTACATTAACTACAAGCAATAAAGTTTGTATTTGAAGACAAAGGTGGTTAATGTCATATTAACAGTGTTGGGAAGGTGACTTTTAAAATGTATTCCCCTACAGATTACAGATTACATACCCCAAAATGTAGTTTGTAACGTAATCCATTAAATTACTTAAAGTGAGTAACGTAATCTGAATACTTTGGATTACTTGATATTGTGCTGCTTTTTAAAACTACATGAATGTACCAACCACATCCTGAAAATTCATGTTTGTTCTCTTTAAATTGTCTGTTGAGCCCAAGTCTCCATGAACAGACTTTTTTTTTTTTACTGCAGAGAAGCAAAGACGAGGATCTGAACGTGAGATGTTTTATCTGCTAAAAGAAAATAAAAAGCCCAGACTTTACTTAAACATATTAAAAACAGATCACTGCTGCTTTAAATGATGTCCAGCCTACTGTTAGGTGTCATTTTGTTTAGTCCTGGTTTTAGTCCTGGTTTAGTCCTAGTTTTAGTCCTAGTTTAGTCCTGGTTTTAGACCAGGTTTTAGTCCTGGTTTAGATCTAGTTTAGACCTGGTTTACACCTGGTTTAGACCTGGTTTTAATCCTAGTTTAGTCCTGGTTTTAGACCTGGTTTTAGTGCTGGTTTAGATCTGGTTTAGACCTGGTTTACACCTGGTTTAGACCTGGTTTAGACCTGGTTTTAGTCCTGGTTTAGATCTGGTTTGGACCTAGTTGACACCTAGTTTAGCCCTAGTTTAGCCCTAGTTTAGTCCTAGTTTAGTCCTAGTTTAGTCCTGGTTTAGTCCTGGTTTAGACCTGGTTTGGACCTGGTTTACACCTAGTTTAGACCTAGTTTAGTCCTGGTTTAGACCTGGTTTTAGTCCTAGTTTAGTCCTGGTTTAGACCTGGTTTGGACCTGGTTTACACCTAGTTTAGACCTAGTTTAGACCTAGTTTAGTCCTGGTTTAGACCTGGTTTTAGTCCTGGTTTTAGTCCTAGTTTAGTCCTGGTTAGACCTGGTTTTAGTCCTGGTTTAGTCCTAGTTTAGTCCTGGTTTAGTCCTGGTTTAGACCTGGTTTTAGTCCTGGTTTAGATCTGGTTTACACCTGGTTTACTCCTGGTTTAGACCTGGTTTTAGTCCTGGTTTAGACCTGGTTTTATTTATTTCAACAAAGTAACTGTAATCCAATTACCACTCACTGAAACAGTAACTGTAACCGAATACAGTTACTCATAATTTGTACTCTGATTACGTAACTCCGGTACATGTAATCTGTTACTCCCCAACACTGCATATTATTTAAGTCATATCTTGCGTGTTCCTCCTCTCATAATGTCTTCCGTCCTCCTGTAGGCAAAGACGTGATCGGCCTGGCAGAGACGGGTTCGGGTAAAACGGGAGCTTTTGCCCTGCCGATCCTGCAGACCCTGTTGGACTCTCCCCAGAGGCTCCACACGCTCGTCCTCACCCCCACCAGAGAGCTCGCCTTCCAGATCTCTGAGCAGTTTGAGGCCCTGGGCTCCAGCATCGGGGTCAAGTGTGGTACGTGTCACAATGAGCCCCACAATATGTGCTGTTTTCATGTCAGCGTTGAGTTTGAGCTGACAAAAACGTGAAGTAAGAAAGCTGACGTAAATATTTGTATTGTTTCTGTGTGGAATGACAAAGATATGATGATAACTGCGCAAATCATGAAGAGAAAGGCACAAATAGTGGCATCTTTGAATTGACTTGAACACATTTTTTTAGTTATGTCACGTTAAAGGTGCACTGTTGGGGGGTCTGTCACCTGCTTGTTTCTATGGATATCTCATTGCTTTGCTTCAAATGTTCCACAGTATGACATTAAACAGCTCTACTTTACATTTATTCAATTACAGGTGGTTTTGTAGCTCAAAAATACCTAAAAAATACAAGCATTGTGACTGTGAGCGGTGTTGTTTCTCCACAGATCTGACCTGTAACTTGGTCTGGTTTGGTCTCCACATGATGATAGAAAAGTTTAACTCTTTCCCCCCTGGACGCCTACTAGGAACAACCAATATGTTACTAGGGCTACACCCATAGAGCATAATTGCATAAAAGAAAACAGACTTCCACAAGAGATTCCAGGGCAATTTTGGTTCATAATCGAGTATAAAGCCCGGATAGTTTGTTGGGATATCGCAGGACTCCACACAGACGCATCAGCTGTATTCTCATCTTCGTAAGATTCACTCTCTGTAAGTCCGTCGCTGTCGCTGTTTTCCACTTTATAATCACCCTCATCATCACTTTGAAATCTATAAAAGTCACTTTCTCTAAACTTATCCATAAAATACGTCCGCTCCTCATTATTTCTAAAACTGTGCGCCGCAGCGCCGCGATCTTTCCATTGCACGTGTTTCGTGTTGTGTTTTTTCCGGAAGCTACCAATCGTCACTACTTCGATTAACTTTGGAAAAAATCGGCGAAAACATATCCTTGAATCCTATTGGTCAGTCTAGTGTGGGTTGTAGTGGCCCCCACCTATCGCAGTCTCTGTTTAAATGTGAAAAACCGAGCCGTTTCTAAAGGTCGTCAAATCCCGTCTTTAGTGAAACAGCGGAGGTGTTAAAAGTCGTCATTAAGGGAACAGGGGGGTCGTCAAATGTCGTCTTCATGGGGGAAAGAGTTAATGCCACACTGCCCATATCGGCTTGTCAAAGTCTGATCCCGTCAGATCTTAGAAGCTCAGCAGGGCCGAGCCTGATTAGTACCGTATTTTCCGGGCTATTAGACGCGCTCATAAGCCTCCAACCGCATCAAAAAACAATTGCGCGCTCCACAATCCAGTGCACGAATCCACTCAGGTGTCCCAGCACGACTTCAGTAAACTACTAAGTCGCACCACCTACAGAACACACAAACACACACGGAGCAGACAGCGACCGCACAGCGAACACACCCACAGACACACGCATCACTCCACGCCGACGAGGAACGGAACGGAGGAACGAACCGAAAAAGCGAGCGCGACGTGCCGCTTCTAGACACGACTGAACAACTGAGTCACTGCGAACACGCCGACAATCCGTTGGTCCCAGACAGCACCCTCCCTACACGCCACAACTGAACAAAGCCCAGAGTCACCGTGAACGAACAAACAAACAAAACCACTCACCCATCCAACTGTTGTGTTTCCTTTAAAGTCCCACGCGGTTTATTTGTGAAAAAAGTTCTAAAACAGACCATTTAATGACAGTGCGCCTTATAATCCAGAGCGACTAATAGCCCGGAAAATACGGTACTTGGATAGGAGATCGCTGGGAAAATCAGGAGCCACAGGGGGGCGCCAGTCGTAAAAACTGCTGTTGTGTCCTTAGGCAAGACACTTCACCTACATTGCCTAGTATGAAAGTGGTGGTATGTGAGGGATGGTGGTGGTTGGAGGGACTATTGTTGCAGATCGGCAGCTGTGCTTCAGTCAGTCTGTCCCAGGGCAACTGCGGCTACAAGAGTAGTTTACTGCCACCGGATATGGAGTAACTGAGTAATGCTCTGTAACGCGTTTTTGTGACAAATGTGTGTGAAAAGTGCAAAACAAATTAAAACTTGCTTACTTGCTGTGGAACATTCCAGACAAAGCAATAACATCCCCATGGAGAAAAGTATTTGACAAGCCCGTCCACCAGAAAAGTTACACAATGCACCTTTAAGTGTCAACAAATATTAATATGTTTATTGTTTGTTTATTTTTGCTATCCATCTGAAAAGTGCTAGAAGGATGCCTGGGCCTTGTACAGCTCCTGAGCCACATACGGTCCTTTATTTGACTCTGAGCGGCCCGTTTAAGCTCATCTGGAATTACAAAATAAACATATTTTCTCATTTTACCTCATGCCTGGACTAAAGCTGCATTGCTTTTATTTTAGAGGTGTTTTTTTTTTTTATCACATTTTTTGGAAAACAGCCTCACTTTTTTTATTGCTTAGTTGTTAGGTCTGCCTAAACATTGTAAACAAGAAGAAAGACAAGAGATTAATTCAGTTTTACTCATGAGGAGAACGGGCAGAGAGTGGGCATCAAAACCAACAGTCTCCACACGTTCTGATGACTCAAGGCCGTTCTCCTCTTTTTATTTCATTAGGAGGCCCTAGTTACAGAATGATAATTCTCAAGGGGAAGGGGAAACCAGCAAAGACATAATAAGAAACTGGTGCAGCTAAGCATAGTACAAACAGGAGGTGCCTTAGGTTTGGTCAGACACCATCATAACTCTTGCATGTGTGACAGTGGAAGTTGGCTTCATGTGAGGAATCATCTCGAGGTTCACTAGAGCGATAGGACACTGCACACAGTTGTCAAACACACAGAGGTTATTCATTTTTATACAAGTGATTGGTACATTATAAATCAAAGAATTGTAGTTACATAAATGGTTAACTCATAGGCCTAGAATATCACACAAGTATTTAGCAAATATGGGATAATAAAATTATTCTGACAGTCAGTCATAACATAAACTCTTACCAGTCTGAGCAGCTCGTCAAAACAATGATATTTACTGCTTTTTATAAAGAAATACAATTAATACTATGCAGAATTGAATCTTGGCACAATATTTTCTGTTTGTCACGTGGCCCCATGGAAAAAATAATTGCCCACCCATGAACTAATGTGAACAGACTAAAAAAAAAACAATGTTTCACGTAAGCCTTTTTAGGAAAATATTACACTGCTATTGTGGGTTTTTTTTTTTTTTTTTTTTTTTCTTTTTTTTTTTTCTTTTCCAGGTTTTTATATTTTGTCTATTAATTACGCAATCATTTTATCATCTTAACAATTTATTGCTCACCTCAAATCTTAAAAAATATTCTGCTGTTTTGTTTTCACAGCTGTCGTTGTTGGAGGAATCGACATGATGTCCCAGTCTTTAGTCTTGGCCAAAAAACCTCACATTGTCATAGGTACGGTCTAAAATATTCATCCATTTATTTAAAAGAACAAACATGCAGTAGTATGATAAATGATTTCAAATATTTCTGTTTTTAGCTACTCCTGGACGATTGATAGACCATTTAGAAAACACTAAAGGCTTTTCGTTACGAGCGCTCAAGTTTTTAGTCATGGATGAAGCTGACAGGATTCTCAACATGGACTTTGAGACAGAGGTACTTAAAAATTACTCACTAATTACCGGTTTACTAACTAACTTTGTCTATTAATGCAACAGAATTTAAATATTTTCTTTTGTTGTCTTGGCCAGGTGGATAAAATCTTAAAAGTTATTCCCAGAGACAGACGGACGTTTTTGTTTTCGGCGACAATGACTAAAAAGGTAAAGTGTGTTCTTAATAATTTATGGTAGTTTTCAGTGTTGGGAAGGTGACTTTCAAAATGTAATCCCCTACAGATTACAGATTACATACCCCAAAATGTAGTTTGTAACGTAATCCATTAAATTACTTAAAGTGAGTAACGTAATCAGAAGCTATGATGAGTGTACCAAGGCCAGTTACTCGCCGGATTACTTGGAGCCAGGCCTGGTGGGTGCTCGCCAGCGAGCGCCTTGGCCGAGCCTCCCCCCACGGGGCTCGGCCGGGCTAGCCCAAGGAGCGACGTGGGGCCGTCCTCACGTGGGCCCACCACCCGCAGGAGGATCATATGGGGCGGTGCAGAGAGAATCTGGGCAGCAGTCACGGCGGGGCCTCGGCGACCGGATCTCCGGACAGGAGACTAGCTCTGGGGACATGAATGTCACTCGTGGGGGAGGGAGCCTGAGCTTGTGCGGGAGTGAGCGTTACCGACTAGATATAGTCGGCCTCACCTCCACGCACAGTTTTGGGCTCTGGAACCCAACTCCTTGAAGGGCTGGACTCTCCATTTCTTGGCGTTGGCCGCGGGGAGCGGCGGCGCTGGTGTGGGCCTGCTCATTGCCCCACAGCTCAGCCGCTGTGTGTGGAGTTCACCCCGGTGAACGAGAGGGTCGGTCCCTGCGCCTCGGGGTCGGGGACAGGTCTCTCACTGTGGTGTCGGCCTACGGGCCGAACAGCAGTGCTGAGTACCCGGCCTTCTGGAGTCCTTGGGAGGGGTACTAGACAGTGCACCGACCGGGGACTCCGTTGTTCTCCTGGGGGACTTCAACGCCACGTGGGCAACGACAGGACACTTGGAGAGGGGTGATTGGGAGGAACGGCCTCCCCGATCTGAACCCGAGTGGTGTTTTGTTATTGGACTTCTTGTGCTAGTCAACAGTTTGTCCATAACGAACACCATGTTCGAGCACAAGGGTGTCCATAAGTGCACGTGGCACCAGGACACCTAGGCCGGAGTCGATGATCGACTTTGTCCATCTGATCTCCGGCCGCGTGTCTTGGACCTCGGGTGAAGAGAGGGGCTGAGCTGTCAACTGATACCACCTGGTCGTTTGGGTTCGCTGGCGGAGGAGGAAGCCGGAAAGACTGGCAGGCCCAAGCGTGTAGTGAGGTCTGTTGGGAACGTCTGGCGGAGCCCTCTGTCAGAGGAACCTTCAACTCGCACTCCGGAGGACTTTCTCCCGGATTCCGGGGGAGGTGGAGATATGGAGTCCGAGTGGGCTTCATTCTCGGCTCTATTGCAATGCAGCTGCTCGGAGCTGTGGGCGTAAGGTCTGTGTGCCTGTCGCGGCGGCAACCCCAGAACCGGTGGTGGACACCGGAAGTAGGGATGCTGTCAAGCTGAAGAAGGAGTCCTATCGGGCCTTGCTGGCTCGGGGACTCCTGGCAGCTGACGGGTACGGCGGGCAGCGTGCTGCAGCCCGTGTGTCGCGGAGGCAAAAATTCGGAGCGGGAGGAGTTCGGGAGGCCATGGAGACTTATCGGAGCCTCAAGAGATTGGCAAACCGTGGCGCCTAGGAGGGGAAAGCAGTTCTCACCAACACTGTTTACAGTGCGGGGGGAGAGCTGTTGACCTCGACTGGGACGTTGTCCGGCGGTGGAAGGAATACTTGAGGATCTCTCAATCCCACCGTACTCCTCCGAGGAGGAGGCCGAGGCTTCAGAGGCGGACTCATCCATCACCCTGGCCGAATCACTGAGGTGGTTAGCTCCTTGGTGGCAAGCCCGGGGTGGATGAGATCCGTCCTGAGTACCTGAAGTCTCTGGATGTTGTGGGCTGTCTTGTGACACGCCTCTTCAACATCGCGTGGCGGTCGGGGACAGTACTCTGGACTGGCAAACCGGGTGGTGCCCTCTGTATAGAAGGGGACCGAGGTGTGTTTCAACTTAGGGGGATCACACTTCTCAGCCTTCCGGTAAGGTCTATGCCAGGGTACTGGAGAGGAGAATCCGGCCGATAGTCGAACTCGGATTCAGGAGGAGCAGTTGGTTTTCGTCCTGACCGTTAACACTGGACCAGCTCTACACTCTCCTAGGGTGCTCGAGGGTTCATGGGAGTTTCCCAACCAGTCCACATGTGTTTTGTGGATCTGGAGAAGGCATCCGGTCCTCGGGTGTCCTGTGGGGGGTCTCTGGAGTATGGAGCCTGTGCTAAGGCTGTCCGGTCCTGTAACCGGAGCAGAGCTGTTTCGCATTGCGGCGTAAGTCAGACTGTTCCCGGTGCATGTTGGACTCTGACCGTTCTGGTATTTATGGACCTAGGTTTTGGGAGGATTTCATCTGCTGTTTGCGGACGATGTTGTCCTGTTGGCTTCATCGAACCAGACCTACAATGTGCACTGGGGCGGTTTGCAGAGTGTGAAGCGGCTGGTTAGCTTTCCAGTCCGTGGTTACCGGAAAAAGGTGGCTTGCCCTCTCCGGGTGGGTGGAGTCTTTGTCAAGTGGAGGAGTTCAAGTATCTCGGGGTCTTGTTCAGAGGGAAGGACGGAACGTGAGATTGACCGGATGGTGCAGCTTCGGCAATGCGGTCGCTGAACCGTTGTGGTGAAGAGGGAGCTGAGTCGAAAGGCGAAGCTCTCGATACCGGTCAGTCTTCGTTCTACTCTCACCTATGGTATGAGGCTCTGGGTAGTGACCGAAAGGACGAGATGCGGATACAAGCGCTCGAAATTGAGTTTCCCGCAGGGTGGCTGGGCGCTTCCTTAGAGATAGGGTGAGGAGCTCAGTCACGGGAGGAGCTCGGAGTAGAGCCGCTGTCCTCCAGTCGAGAGGAGCCAGTTGAGGTGCTCGGCAATGCCTCCGGGCGCCTCCCTCGGGAGGTGTTTCCGGGCATGTCCCGCCGGGAGGGGCCCCGGGGAACCCAGGACACGCTGGAGGGACTGTCTCTCGGCTGCCTGGGAACGCCTCGGGGTCCCCCCGGAAGCTGGAGGACTGTCTGGGTGAGAAGTCTGGGAGTCTGCTTAGGCTCTCCCCCCGCGACCCGGCCCCGGATAAGGGACGAAAATGGATGGGGATGGATGGAGTAACGTAATCTGATACTTTGGATTACTTGGTTTACCGTAGAGAAGCAAAGACCAGGGTATCGTAACATAAGATGTTTTGTCTGCTAAAAAAAAAAGAAAAGCCCAGACTTTACTCAACCAAATTAAAAATATATACTGATAGAAGAGGAGGAAAACACCACGCAGCATGATTTTTGTTATAGTCTGGTTTAGACCTGGTTTAGACCTGGTTTTAATCCTGGTTTAGACCTGGTTTGGACTTGGTTTAGTCCTGGTTTAGAACTGGTTTAGACCTGGTTTAGTCCTGGTTTTAGACCTGGTTTAGTGTCCGGCAATGAGTGGAATTACCGAGAAAAAAAACAGGAAAATACCGCTGTGTAATCCATTTATTTTAAAAAAAGTAACTGTAATCCAATTACCACTCACTGAAACAGTAACTGTAACTGAATACAGTTACTCATAATTTGTACTCTGATTACATAACTCCGGTACATGTAATCTGTTACTCCCCAACACTGGTAGTTTTAGAATGAAATGGCTTATAATGGTGGTAATTAAATGATTTGAATTGTTTTACAGGTTCAGAAACTCCAGAGGGCAGCGCTCAAAGATCCTGTCAAGTGCGCAGTGTCCACCAAATATTCCACAGTCGACAAACTGCAGCAGTACTACGTCTTTATACCGGCCAAGTACAAGGTAAGATCTTAAATACTTGAAGTACACAGATACTGTTTTAAATATTTTCATGGTTTGGTTGAATACACTTTTGAGAAGGTGAATAAAACACTTGGGTTGATCACTGACCAAATGGTTGTGGTACTGTTTGCAGCTCTTACTGTTTTAGAAACTGTTGTACAATCCCAGCTGAACCTGTGTGTCCAGAGTCTTAACCTGCACACAGAGACACATCCAAGTTTGTTTGACTTTATGTTCAGGCCTCAGGTGAAAGATCAGAACCTCCAGAATTCCCTCATAGCGTTTTCATGCTGACAGAGAATCCTGCCGGTGCTGGTTCCCGCACCTTAATCTCAAACCGACTGACATGTTCACGCCGAAAATCAGAGCGTGTGGGATCCGAAAAGTTGGTTTCGACGGCAACCAAGTAAAACCTGTTTTTTTCTAAGACAACTGTGACACAGTAGATGTGAGCAGGTTCATCCAGGTCACAGGCGTTGAAATAAACTAAGAAAACATGCGTGTGGAATATGGAGGAGAAATCAAGACTAGAAGGTTGTGCAGTGGTCAGCGGAGGAGTCCAAATATTTGCTGTATCCGTGTTCGCCCGGTGAGGTAACATCTTTGGATTTGGCGTCGCTGCCGCCTTCTCCACAGCAGATGTTGTAGCAGAGCTCGGCGCAGATAAATAATGATTTGTATCGTCATTGAGCACAAACACTCACTGGTGTCGATGATGCGATCCATGATTGTTATTTTCCTCGCTGTGACATGTGCTTTCGTATGGCCTTGTTTTTATTTGGTGGCAAGTCGATGACACATCATGGGTCTGAACACGGGTCATTCACCGGTGAACACTCTGGGTCACGGTGTAACTGCTGTGGGAACTGGCACCAGCACTGTTCTGGCTGAACTGAAAACAGCTTCACTGAGCTGCAGAGGCTGCACGACCACTGATTCATGACTGGCTGCAGGTTCTGAGGTTTAAGTAAAGACTATTCAGATCAGAGAGAAGCATTTTAGGTCTAAACACACTGGATTTCAGCTTTGAAACTGGCAAATGAGAGACTCATGTGAGGCTCATTCTGCTTTCTGATTGGATAATTGTCTTGAGAACCAAAATGCCAAATAAATGGGATATTCAATGTCTAATACTTTTTGTAATGAAGAATAAATCATGAAACATTACAGTTGTTATCGGTAAAAATTATATTTGATTTTAAAAGGCTTATCTGGTGTCTGGGGACAGTTAGGTCAAGTTTATAAAATCAAAATCTTACATAGTTTCTTTTAAGAGATTTTAAAAATGTATTTAAAAGAGAAATAATGAAAAGGAGGAGAGACAGTGATGCCCTGATCACAGAGTGTGATGTTGGGGGTAGAGGGGTGGAGGGTCACAAAGTATTGCACCAGTGTGGTGTCTAATGAGTGTGTGAATATATTTTTTGTCTGTATTGTCTTGTCATGTATCATATTCTAGTTAAGGTGTTGTTCACTTTTCAAACCAGCATGTTTATATCTACATCTGTATTGTTATGTTATATGAATTGTATTTGCTGGTTTGAAATAACTAACATTTCAAACGTCTGTCTGTTTGAGATAAACATTTAAAGAAATTAAGTGCCAACTAGTCTCAGTGAAAATAACTTTTTGGTCTAGTGTTTTCAATATTATTGTATGTATTTATGCTGAGAAATATGAAAAAACTGCCCATAACTTGTATCTTTTGTTTGCTGAATATTATCATTTCCCTTTATTATTTTTCTTCTAGGACTGTTATTTGGTCTCCATCCTGAACGATTTGGCCGGCAACTCCTTCATGATCTTCTGTAGCACGTGTAACACTGCCCAGAGGGTGGCGCTGTTGTTAAGGAATCTGGGCATCACGGCGATTCCTCTGCATGGACAGATGAGCCAGGTACATCTCTGTCTCCACTTCAGCTTCAAACCAGTTATACCGCATTTTCCACACTTATATATTTTTTTTCTCACCTCCTCAGAACAAACGTCTGGGAGCTCTGAATAAGTTCAAGTCGAAGTCTCGCTCGGTGCTGCTGGCCACAGACGTCGCCTCTCGAGGTCTGGACATTCCTCACGTGGACTGTGTCATCAACTACGACATCCCCACACACTCCAAGGTAAACTGCACTGAACCAGGAGCTTTCATGTTTAACGCCTACAAGCTGAAAAATGAATAATCCACAAATATTTTACTCCACAAACTCACACTACATTATTATTATTTCAATGTTAAAACTAATATCGAAACTAGTCACTCCTTTGAGCAAATATCAGTACAAAAAACATGAACAGGACGACATTTGAGCTTTTCTAAACAGTTATGAAATGACCTAAGACCCACACGGTAACATGAAGAAAGTAGTTTTTATAGTCAATAGATCTTTTTCTCAACGGTAAGCTTTGTTGCACTTCTGGTTAATGGTTTTCTGTGGCAAAATGTGTGTGTAAATGTGTGTCGTATTCTCCACCAACTTCATAAATTCGCCCCATCACCAAATCTTCAACCAACAAGGTCCAGGGAGAATTTATCCACAACTGTCAAGGTGAGAAAGACGAAAGTTTAAAGGAGAACAACGACGACGACAACTGAGCAAAACTAACGTGAATAAAATGAATAAAACTTGTTCACTCAGACTGATTCAAGAATTAAAATAAATGATGTAGATAGAAAAATGTGTGCAGTTTGAATGCTAGACATGTAATCTGTGAACATCTGTAGTAAGGCTGTGCAAAAATATCGATATATTGTGTCATTTAATGTTATGATACAGTATCGATATCGCCAAGAGTATTTTTTGGTGTATTTTACTAAATGATTTTGTTACAGAGCTGCAGTTTTGTTGCTTGTTCAGAGGAAGGAAACCCGTTTGTGCGACACATTTTCATTGTTTTGAGGATTAAAACAGGCATTTTTCATATCAACTTTGCACAAGATGTAGTTTAATGAAGACTTTTAGTACCACAATCATGATTTAACCTTTATTTTTTATTGAACCGTATCAAATTGATTTGAAATATATCATATCAAACCGAAAGTACACTGTAGCAAGATATGTATCGTATCGGCAACTTCTTAATGATACCGAGCCCTAATCTGCACAAATCTATCTATGCTAATATCAACATCATGAAATTAATTTTTTATTTTAACTGTAGAATCAGTCTGAGTGAACAAGTTACTTATGTTTTATTCATGACCAGAACATTAGTTTTGTTCAGTGTGTCACTAATGCGTCGTCATTGTTCACCTTTAAGTTTTCATCTTCCTTCCCTTGATAGTTGTGGATAAATTCTTCATGGAAGAATGTTTATCCTTTGTGGACCTTGGTTGTAGATTTGGTGAGGGGGCAGATTTATGAAGCTGGTGGAGAATACGAATCCGTGTATCATTCGTTCATTTGTTTTTCAATATAAAACCAAAAATAAGAAACGAAAAGGCAACAGTTTTCTTCATTATTTGTCTCCAAAACCAAAATGAAAAAAACAGATAATGATTTGTTTTTTCAGTTTTCAATTTTGTGTTTAAATGAAGAATGAAAAAATGGATAACGGTTGTTTCCCGTTTATGTGGCTTCCGTGATTGGGATGCTGGACTTTTGCTTTGCAAACGGACTGAACCAGGACTGATCCAGGTCCGGGACCAGACCGGACTCCGAGCTTTGACTCTAAACCGAGCCTCAGCTTCGAGCTCCGGCCCCGCTGTGAGCCTCCGGTATTGGTCCCGGCCTGGTCCCGGTCTCAGTCTTGGTCTGGTCCTGATCTCAGTCCCCTTCTGATTCTTGTCTAGTCCCGGACCTGGATCAGTCCTGGTTCAGTCCGTACGTGACACAAAATTTCGACATCGCAGTCACGGAAGTCACGTAAACGGGAAACGGCCGTTATCTGTTTTTTCCATTTTTCATTTAAACACAAAATCGAAAACTGAAAAAATGAATCGTTATCTGTTTTTTCATTTTAGTTTTGGAGACAAATTATGAAGAAAACTGTTGGTTTTTTTCGTTTTCTTATTTTTGGTTTTATATTGAAAAACGAATGACACACGCATTAATACGCCAGACATTTAAACCGACATTTTGCCACAGAAAACCATTAACCAGAAGTTCAGCAACCTTACCTGGCGGGACTTACAACCTTTGTGAAAAAGGTCAGTTGTTTAAAAAAAGAGCAATTGTTATTATCATTGTAGTATGGAAAATCTGTATCAAGTGTCACACCTACTCTCCAAAAATTCACAATCCACAATCAGACCTGTACCAACTTTTCACGATTATAAAATGCACAATATTGTTACTTTTGTTTATTTATGCAACAGAATATTAAACTTTCTTCATTTTCAGATTTCATGTATACACTCCAGATTAGTAATTACACAGACATTACACAGAAATCATGCACCCATTTAAAAAAAACACTGTGACACTTACTTACTTTGCTCATTTTACACTAGACTTCAGAAGTGTCCCAGTCGCCCTTGTATCCGCCCACACTGTAACTGTAACTGTAACCGCCACGTCTTTAAAATGTTATGACTTCCCATTAAAGAACATTTGTAGTGACTGTAGAATTTGATTGTCTTACAGGACTATATTCACCGAGTGGGCAGGACAGCCAGAGCGGGCCGGGCCGGGAAATCCATCACTTTTGTTACGCAGTACGCTTCTACGCTTTTCCTTTTGTTATTGTCATCACTCAGCCAGACCCTTTAAAAGTTTGTAAACGAATATATTCTGAATTATGGAATGGCGGCGGCTGGAGGCGAAAGCGGAGCTCAACACAAACAGAAAATCAGAAGTGTTTTATTTTAAACGGTTTGCAGCGGACCAAAGTTATGCCCACACTGGTCACGTTTACATGATGTTTTTAAATTCTGAATTAAAAGGTTCGGATCCTTTGAGTTTACATGGAAATTCAAGGAAAACACGTTAAATCGGCTTTATTTAATTCCGCTCAACGTCTGGGGGTGGGGAAGTTCTGATTGGACAGAGACACCAACGTATTTACGTCGACCGGAAGAAAACACTTCAGCTGCTACCGGATTTTTCGTCGTCACGCCGGCGGACACAAACGCGATCCAAACGTTTTTCGCAGTCGTTCCGAATGGAGTCGAATTCTCTCATCACGCTTTACGTCTGTCGGCTGAGGAGGAGAAGGGAAGAGTGTCGGAGAAGGGAGGAAGAAGACAAACTTGAGTCGAAGGATGCTCTACCTCAGCCCACTCCCGCATCCCGCTCGCAAATCCAAAGAGACGTGGATTAAAGTCCAAAGCCCGGACTGGTGGAGCTGAATCGTCCGGATTGCGTCAGAAGGTCGACCCAACGAGCATGCGCTGAACGACCGGAATTATTTTTAAGAAGAATAAACGTTTACATGATCGAGGAGTAAATTAATTCAGCTAAAAGCGGAATAAACCACCCACTTACTTCAGAATTACCGTATTTTCCGCACTATTAGGCGCTCTGGATTATAAGACGCACTGTCATTAAATATGTTTATTTTGCAATTCCAGATGATCTTAAACGGGCCTCTCAGAGTCAAACAAAGGACCGTATGTGGCCCAGGAGCCGTACAATGCCCAGGTCTGGATTAGAGCAATACTTGAGCCTCAACATATACAGACATCCTTCTAGCACTTTTAAGATGGAGAGCGAAAATAAACAATAAACATATTAATTTTGGTTTAGGCATAGACTTAAAACGTGCATTTTTTTTTCTGGTGGAGGGTCTGTCAAATATTTTTCTCCATGGGGATGTTATTGCTTTGTCTGGAATGTTCCACAGCAAGTAAGCAATTAGTCTATTAGTCACTCTGGATTATAAGACGCACTGTCATTAAATGGTTTATTTTCAAACTTTTTTCACAAATAAACCACACTGGACTGTAAAGGAAACACAACAGTGTGATGGGTGAGTGGTTTTGTTAGTTTGTTCGTTCACGGTGACTCTGGGCTTTGTTCAGTTGTGGCGTGTAGGGAGGGTGCTGTCTGGGACCAACGGATTGTCGGCGTGTTCGCAGTGGCTCAGTTGTTCAGTCGTGTCTAGAAGCGGCACGTCGCGCTCGCTTTTTCGGTTCGTTCCTCCGTTCCGTTCCTCGTCGGCGTGGAGTGATGAGTGTGTCTGTGCAGTCGCTGAAGACGTGCTGGGACACCCGAGTGGATTCGTGTATGGGGCGCTCTGGATTGTGGCGCACGGTCGTTTTTTGATGGGGTTAGAGGCTTAAGAACGCGTCTAATAGCCCAGAAAATACGGTCAGTTTAATTCCGAATAATAATTTTCATTAGGAATTCAGTGTTTACATGGTCTTTTTTAAGCGGAATTAGTTTTTATTCAGAATTAAAGCTCTCATGTAAAAGTGGCAAATGAGTTTATAATGTCTTTTCACAACTTTCAGAAAGTAGAGCGGAGTTTTTACAGCCATGATGAAGCTCACAACAACTAGCATGCTAATGTGCACTTCTAACTAGATGCAGACTGTGCACAGCAGACGAGTTTTGATCTCAAGAGCTGCTTATACAAAATATCTGTACTGGGGCAAGGCACATTTTGTTCAAATTCATAGAAGAAATTTGGTTTTCGATGGACATTTAGGATTCACCACAGAATGTTTTTAAAATGTGAAAAAAGTCAAGAGTTTTTTTTTGACAATACCGTATTTTCCGGGCTATTAGACGCGCTCTTAAGCCTCTAACCGCATCAAAAAACAACCGTGCGCCACACAATCCAGAGCGCCCCATACACGAATCCACTCAGGTGTCCCAGCACGACTTCAGTAAACTACAAAGCCGCACCACCCACAGAACACACAAACACACACGGAGCAGACAGTGACCGCACGGCGAAAAACACCCACAGACACACTCATCACTCCACGCCGACGAGGAACGGAACGGAGGAACGAACCGAAAAAGCGAGTGCAATGTGCCACTTCTAGATACGACTGAACAACTGAGCCACTGCGAACACGCCGACAATCCGTTGGTCCCAGACACACCCTCCCTACACGCCACAACTGAACAAAGCCCAGAGTCACCGTGAACGAACAAACAAACAAAACCACTCACCCATCACACTGTTGTGTTTCCTTTAAAGTCCGGTGCGGTTTATTTGTGAAAAAAGTTTGAAAATAGACCATTTAATGACAGTGCGTCTTATAATCCAGAGCGACTAATAGCCCGGAAAATACGGTACTTCACAATTAAGTTTAATTCCAAATAATCATTTTCATTAGGAATTAAGTGTTTACATGGTCTTTTTTTAAGCAGAATTAGTTTTTATTCAGAATTAAAGCTCTCATGTAAACGTGGCAAATGAATTTATAATGTCTTTTCACAACGTTCAGAAAGTAGAGCGGAGTTTTGCCGTCACATTGAAGCTCACAACAACTAGCATGCTAATGTGCACCGACAGTACACAGCAGACTTGTTTTGACCTCAAGAGCGTCTTATACAAAGTATCTGTACTGGGGCGAGACACATTTTGTTCAAATTCATAGAAGAAATCTGGCTTTTGTTGGACGGAGTGTTTATATTACATCTACAAATTTATCACATACTTACTACTTTTTTTTTTTTAAATAATGACGCAAACGGACATTTTATACTCTGGAAATTCAAAATTGTAGCTCATCTATGTAAAAATAACGTGTTAGTAAATAGATATTTCCTTTGTCTGAAGTTTTATTGATCACAAGCTCCTGAAAATTTGTCCGTGTACCATTCGTTTTTAATCTTAATCTCTGAATTTCAATTGAGGATGAAGAACTAAAAAAACAAAACAAAAAAAGAAAGAAAGGGAAAACAGTTTATTATCTAATTTTTCTGTTTTAGTGTCAAACAAAAAAACTGATTTCAACCTCCAATACTTGATTTTAAGTGTATTTCAAATAACACCAAACAAAAAACAGTCTCGGTGCCTGTTTCAATTTTGATATTTTATTCTTTCTGGTTTATTTTCCCTGGAAGTTTTGCCGCTGAACAAAGGATTTATCTCTTCTTCCTCTCCTGTTATCTGTTTCTCGTCATGGAGCGCGACAATTGCTTTGTAAGACGCGAAAGTAAACACGTCGCTATAAAAGAAGAGAATGATTTTTCAGGTGAGTCCTTCTAGCAGCAGAACTTCCACGGCAAATAAACCAGAAAGAATAAAATATCAAAATTAAAATAGACTCGATGACTGTTTTTTGATTGGTGTTATTTGTAATATTTTTTGTAATAAATAAATAATAATACATTTGTAATAAAGTTTAAATTAAATATTGGAAATAGAGGTCGAAATCAGACACTAAAACAGAAAAATTAAATACAAACAATTTTCCTATTTTATTGTTTTTCATTCTAAATTGAAATTCAAAAAAAAACGAACATTACACACTAGGGATGGGCATTCGATGAAATTTTCTTAATCGATCGTCGGAAGAATTGACGATCGATTATCGATTAATCATTAACGTTTTTATATTAAAATGATCATCATTATTATTACTATCTGCACTACTAATCTGCATAAATAAATTCAACTTTACGACATATAAACCGTAACGACTCTCGAGCCACATCAGCCCGTTTGACATTATAATGTGTTTAATTCAGTTTTGTTCAAATCTCACAAACGAAACTTAAAACTGCATCGCTAATTTGCATAAACTAAGCGAAGATAAAACTCCAGCTCTTGTGTCGCTGATGTGTTTCAATTTCTGTCGGATTAAAAGACATGACTCAGGTGAATACAGGTCAGTGTGACCAGATTTGCGTTTGTCAAAACCAGGACACCGTACGGGGGGAGGGAGGCGGGGACTCGTCATCGACATTGAGCGACTCTCACCTGGTAAAACTTTTTCCCACTGGACACAGAAACATATGTGCTGCTTTATACACTGTGCACATGGACTCACACTTGTCCCGAACGGAAAGCCTGGAATTTCTTGTACAAATCATCGTTAAATCCACATTTTTGCTTCGGTTCGTTACAGACTGACCCACTGTTTGTGTCTCGCTCCTTCTGATGCAGAGACACATGTACACACCTGTTTGGTCACGATACACACAGAAACATACATTCGGTTTGTCGATTAAAATCAACGTAATCGATGAAATTCTTAATGATCAATTATCGATTAATCATGCTCATCCCTGTTACACGCAACAAAATGTGTCGTTTAAATCCGTTTTGAATTGTTCTCTTGAGTTTTCTGACTTTCTTAAAACCGTCAGTGTTTGCAAATGCGTGTATATTGCTTCACCATGGTAGCTGATTATTAAACATCATAGACATACACGTAGAACACCCCCTTCGTGACGTGTTTGTTGCTTCCAGTAGCCGCCATTCCAGACTTTAGAACTTTCTGACGAGTTTGCATATGAAAGGGTTCGTGTCTTTCTATATTTTTTTTTTATTTCGACTGTAACTCTGTGATGTGGGTTTGTGTCAGATACGACGTGGAGCTGTTCCAGAGGATCGAGTCTCTGATCGGGAAGAAGCTGCCGGCCTTTCCCACGCAGGAGGACGAGGTCATGATGCTGGTGGAGCGAGTCAGCGAGGCCCAGAGGTTTGCCAGACTGGTGAGAGCCACACACACACACACACACACACACACACACACACACACACACACACTCACACATCGACTTTTTGGGTCCAGTTTGAGACCTAATGTAGATTCGGTTTGGTCCTGGTCTAGTCTTGGTCTAGTCCTGCCTCTCCTCGTCCTGCCCTCGTCCTGCCCTCGTCTAGTCCTGCCCTAGTCCTGCCCTAGTCCTGCCCTAGTCCTGCCCTGCTAGTCTGCCCTAGTCTTGGTCTAGTCTGCTCTAGTCCTGCCCTAGTCCTGCCCTTCTGCCCTAGTCTGGTCTCTGCCCTGTCTTGGTCTAGTCCCTGCCCTAGTCTTGTCTAGTCCTGCCTAGTCTTGTCTCCTGCCCTAGTCTTGGTCTAGTCCTGCCCTAGTCTTGGTCTAGTCCTGCCCTAGTCTGGTCCTAGTCCTGCCCTGTCTGCCTCGTCTGGTCTAGTCCTGCCCTAGTCTTTGTCTAGTCCTGCCCTAGTCTTGGTCTAGTCCTGCCCTAGTCTTGGTCTAGTCCCTAGTCTTGGTCTAGTCCTGCCCTAGTCTTGGTCTAGTCCTGCCCTCGTCCTGCCCTCGTCTGCCTAGTCCTGCCCTAGTCTCTGTCTAGTCCTGCCCTAGTCCTGCACTAGTCCTGCACTAGTCCTGTCTTGGTCCTGTCTGCCCTAGTCTTGGTCTAGTCCTGCCCTAGTCCTGCCCTAGTCCTGCCCTAGTCCTAGTCCTAGTCCTGCCCTAGTCCCCTAGTCTTGGTCTAGTCCCGCTCTGGTTCTGCTCTGGTTCTGGTCTAGTCCCTGTCTAGTCTTGATCTAGTCTTGATCTAGTCTTGATCTAGTCTTGATCTAGTCTTGATCTAGTCTTGTAGTCCCGGTCTAGTCGGTCTAGTCCCGGGTCTAGTCCCGGTCTAGTCTTGGTCTAGCCCTGGTTTTCTACAGGTCTAGTCTTGTTCTAGTCCCTCTGCCCGGTCTAGTCCCGGTCTAGTCCCTGGTCTAGTCCCGTTCTAGTCCCGTTCTAGTCCCGTTCTAGTCCCGTTCTAGTCCCGTTCTAGTCCCGTTCTAGTCCCGGTCTAGCACCATTCTTGCCCCGGTCTTCCCCTGGTCTTGCCCCGGTCTTGTCCCATTCTCGTCCCGTTCTAGTCCCGTTCTAGTTCCGCTCTAGTTCCGCTCTAGTCCCGCTCTAGTTCCGCTCTAGTTCCGCTCTAGTTCCCGCTCTAGTCCCGGTCTAGTCCCGGTCTCTAGTCCCGGTCTAGTCCCGGTCTCCCGGTCCCCGGTCTAGTCCTGCTGAAAACGTAGAGTGAGGCTTTAAGTATTAATGACATTACAGTTTCTCGGTTTCTCTGCTGAGCTTTTCATTGTAACGTGCAGGTGCAGGTGCAGGTGACTAGACAGATATTCTAAGCATCAATATTGAGACACATAAAAAAGAAAAACCGCCTTGGACTTTACGAGCCGCTGATACGAACACGTTTTCGTCTTTTCAGGAAATGAAGGAGCAGGGCGAGAAGCGCAAGCGACCGAGAGGAGGCGACGGAGACGATGACGACACGGAGCAGGCCAGCGGCGTGAGGAAGAAGGTCAAAGGTGGACCCGGAGGAGGGGGCAAGAAGAGGGGGGGCGCGGCCTGGAGAGGAGGCCGCTAACCCCCACACACCCACAGAACAGACTCTTATCAACCACAAACAAGGACTTCTGCTTTCCTACACTGCAAAAATATTATCTACAGTTGTTAAAATGAGCCAGATTTAGAGTATTCGGTCAGAGTGACACTGGCTGTTTACATGCACAACAAAAATCTGATTTGTGGAGTTGTCAGAATATTGAATGTTATCGAAAAAATATCAGGAATATCTATAATCAAATACTAAAACTAGCACTGAAACTAGTTCATGATTCGCCCATGTGTCAGTACTAAAAAAGTCACACTCAGACAGAAATTAGCTTTTTCTGAAGAGGTTTTAGAATAATCTGTGTATCATTCGTTTTTCAATATAAATCCAAAAATAAGAAGATGAAAAAACAACTGTTTTCTTTATTATTTGTCTCCAAAACCAAAATGAAAAAAACAGATAATGATTTGTTTTTTCAGTTTTCGATTTTATGTTTAAATGAAGAACGGAAAAAACAGATAACGGCCGTTTCCCGTTTACGTGACTTCCGTGACTGCGATGCCGGAATTTTGCACTTCATACGGACTGAACCAGGACTGATCCAGGTCCAGGACCAGACCGGGACCAGAGCACACTCCGAACTTTGACTCCGAGCCTCTGCAGGGTCTGAGTCTCAGCGTCGAGCTCCGGCCCTGTCGTGACCTCTGAGCCTCCGGTCTGGTCTCGGTCTCAGTCCTGGTCTGGTCCCAGTCTCAGTTCTGGTCTGAGTCCCGGTCTGGTCCTGCTCTGGTCTGGGTCTCAGTCCCAATCTGATCTCGGTCTCAACCTCTGTCTCAATCTCGGTCTGGTCCCGGTCTGGTCCCGGTCTGGTCCCGGTCTGGTCTCGGTCTGGTATCGTCTCAGTTCCGGTCTCAGTTCCGGTCTGGTCCCGGACCTGGATCAGTCCTGGTTCAGTCCATATGCGGCGCAGAAGTCCGACATCGCAGTTTAAGTCACGTAAACGGGAAACGGTCGTTATCTGTTTTTTCCATCCTTCATTTAAACACAAAATCGAAATCTGAAAAAACAAATCATTATCTGTTTTTTCATTTTTTCTTTTGGAGACAAATAATCAATAAAACAGTTGTTTTTTCGTTTTCTTATTTTTGGTTTTATTTTGAAAAACGAATGAACGAATGACACACGGATTTAGAATGATTTTGAGCTGTATCAGGACAAATATAAGAGAGACTGAGGGATTACACACATATAAGGCCACGTGGGAAAAAAAGTACTATGATTTAATGCTGAAAACCACATTCTATTGTCTAAAGAAAGAGTGTTTTTATTATCATCATGGTGTCTGAATCGGTATCGAATATCGAGTCTATTCCTTAGTATCGAAATCAAGTATTCTGATGTGTGAGTAATCTCTTCTTTCTATTCACACCAGCGCAGGTTTTGACATGAAGAATTAAGCAAAAAAGGACAAAAAAACTATTGTAAAGACAGAAATTAGTGCAATAATTTTGAAAAGAACTTCAGATGTTTTAATGATCAGATTTCTCTTGTGCATGTAAACACCAAAACTAGATCTAAATATTGGGTTATCTAATTACTAGGGATGTAACAATAACCAAAATATTGTGATATCGTATCGTCAAAAGCCTCTCAATGATATCGTGGGCTGTCACAATATATCGAATCGCAAGTTTCTTTGCTTAAATGCATGGTTTTATAGTAGTAACGGCTTATAAACATCGGGAACTACATTTCCCATGATTCATTTCAGCACAGACAACATGAAGAAATGTGTTTTTTACTTGAATTCTTGGGATTATGACGGAAATTATTCACACCAAAATCTTGTCAAGGTCATTTAAAAGCACAAAAAGTGTCCTATCTACAATTATATCAGCCTCTGGGGGAAAAAAATGCAATAAATATCGTACCGTGAGATGCAAATCGTGAAAATATTTTACCGTGAGATTTGGATTTTTATTGCGATATTTTGTGGAGACTAACAAAATTGTGAATATGCCACTTTTTCCTCTTAAAATGCCTTGACAAAAGTGCTTAGAACTGCTATTTCTTCATGTAGTTTGCACCAAAACAGAGCAAAGGATCATGGTCTATGTAGTTCCCTCTGTTTTTAAGCTATTGCTGCACCATAACAATGAATTTAAGCAAAGAAACTTGTGATTCGATATATTGTGATGGTCCAGGAGACTTTTGACGATACGATATCACGATATTTTGGTTTTTGTTACACCCCTACTACTGATTACTCAAGTTTTCAGATTTTTATTGCCCTTGACCAGTAATAATGCAGATTGTAGATTGTAGATTTCGACAACAAGAATCTACTAAACAAACATTTGACCACATTATCTTTTATATTACATTAACATTGTAAACTTATTCTTTGTTTTCTAGATTTGTGAACGACTGTAAACAATGTATGTGTAATAAATTGTTATATATACACAAGTTAAATATTCTTTAAATACATGGTTACAACAGATAATCTAATTTATTTATTAACCTTTTACCTTCAGTAGTTTGGGAAATTATTCTTGGAGCAGTTTTATAAAACGTCGTCTACTTCTCATGGATGAATATATTTACGTTTTTTTTACATTTTCTTGAGTCATCTTATAAAGAAATCGCGCTTTTCAGAGTACGTTTCTAGCAGAACACTTTAACTTATTAATATTTTATTGAACCAGGACTTAGACTTAGACTTTATTGATCCACAAGGGAAATTACTTGGACACATCACAATATAATACAGTAACAAAGGGTAAAAAAATATATATATATATAAACACTTTGTACTTCTAATTAAGTCAGGATGACCAGATGTCCCTGTTTATTTTATTTTTTTTATTTGTTGATTTATTTCCTTCATAAAGTATTAAAAAACATCAACAAACACATAAGAAATGAACAAAAAGCAACAGAAAGAAGAAGAGAAATCTTATGTTCTCTGCCCCTTTTTCCCTTTTCAAGAAAAAACAACACCGATGGTTATTTTAAAACATTTCAAATCTGTACATTTCAGTTCAGGCACTCAATTATTAATCATTTGCAAACAGAAATCTTCACTTTTATGCACAACAGCTTAGTTTTCTTTTTCATACAAACACATTGCATTTGAGTTTGTGTTGTTTTTTTTCCGTAAATTAACTCGTTTCACAGAGATGCTTCGCTCCATAACCTTGGTTCTGAATCTGTTTTTTTTTTTTTTTTTAAACATGTAGGTTCCTTTTAAATTTTAGTTGTTTGTTCTTATCTCAAACAGTCTTTTAATATTTACAGGTAATACATTTGACTTTGATTTATACGTGACTTTTTACTCGACCCAGTTTTGAGCCCAGAAACTCTGATTTATCTCAGTTTTTATTCAAGAAATGTCTGTATTTTTGACCAATTTGATCCCTGCCAACAGTAAAGAGAGGCATAAACTGTCACTTGTTTTAGTAAAATGCAGAAAAACTGCTTAAAAAACGACCAAAACACAAAGAAAATGTGACTATACGGACACGTTTTACTCAAAAATGGACCGAGTGAAAAACAGTTTTCCTTAATTACACACTTCATTTCACTTTCATAGTTTCATTATTAACAATTACCCCAAACTGAGGATGTCCCAGTTTTTTATTTTGAAAATGTGGTCACCCTAAATTAATTACGTAGTCTGATATTTTGCAGTAATGTTACTTTTACTCAAGTAGCCTACAACCTTTGGCTGCTCTACCCTAGTGTGACCAGACGTCCCTATTGACCCGGGACAGTCCCAGTTTTGAGTCCTGTGTCCCCTGTCCCAGCAGATTTATACAAAACCAGTGATTTGTCCCAATTTTATACAAGAAATTTCCCTATTTTTGACTTGTCAACAGTAAAGAGAGGCATAAATTGTCTTTTGTTTAGGTAAAATACAGAAAAGCTGCTTGAAAATGACCAAAACACAAAGAAAACGTGACTAATTACACACTCGTTTAACAATTTTCTCCTTTTTTATTATTACCAATCATCCCAAAGCGAGGGTGTCCCAGTTTTTTATTTTGAAAATCTGGTCACCTTAAATTGCGTAGCCTTGTCACTTGTTAAGGTAAAATACAGAAAAGCTGCTTAAAAACGACCAAAACGCAAAGAAAATGTGATTATACTGACACATTTTACTCAAAAATGGACCGAGTGCAAAACCGTTTTCCTTAATTATTCACTCGTTTAACAATTTTATTATTACCAACCACTCCAAACCGAGGGTGCCCCAGTTTTTTATTTTGAAAATCTGGTCACCTTAAATTACGTAGTCTGATATTTTGAAGTAATATTACTTTTACTCACTACCCTAGTGTGACCAGACGTTCTGATTTACCCGGGACAGTCCCAGTTTTGAGCTCTGTGTCCCATGACCCAGCAGATTTATCAAAACCAGTGATTTGTCACAGTTTTATTCAAGAAATGTCCCTATTTTTGACCAGTTTGATCCCTGCCAACAGTGAAGAGAGTCAAACTGTCATTTCTTTGGGTAAAATACAGAAAAGCTGCTTAAAAACGAGCAAAACATAAAGAAAATGTGACTATACACACTTACTCTACACTCACAGTTTTCCTTAATTACGCACTCGTTTAACAATTCTATTATTACCAACCACACCAAACCGAGGGTGTCCCAGTTTTTTATTTTGAAAATATGGTCATCCTAAATTCCGAAGCCTGATATGTGACCAGACGTCCCTATTTACCCAGGACAGTCCCAGTTTTGAGTCCCGCGTCCCCTGTCCCAGCAGATTTATACAAAACCAGTGATTTGTCCCAATTTTAAACAATAAATTTCTCTATTTTTGACCAATTTGATCCCTGCCAACAGTAAAGAGAGTCATAAACTGTCACTTGTTTAGGTAAAATACAGAAAAGCTGCTTAAAAACGACCAAAACATGAAGAAAATGTGACTACTGACTTACACTATACTCACAGTTTTCCTTAATTACACACTCACTTAACAATTTTCTTCTTTTTTTATTATTACCAATCACCCCAAACCGAGAATGTCCCAGTTTTTTATTTTGAAAATGTGGTCACCTTAAATTCCGTAGCCTGACATTTTGAAGTAATATTACTTTTACTCACTACCCTAGTGTGACCAGACGTTCTGATTTACCCGGGACAGTCCCAGTTTTGAGTCCTGTGTCCCATGTCCCAGCAGATTTATCAAAAACCAGTGATTTGTCACAGTTTTATACAAGAAATTTCCCTATTTTTGGCCTGTCAACAGTAAAGAGAGTCATAAATTGTCTTTTGTTTAGGTAAAATAAAGACAAGCTGCTTAAAAATGACCAAAACACGAAGAAAATGTGACTATACCGACACTCTTTATACTCACTTACTCTATACTCACAGTTTTCCTTAATTACTTCCTTACTTATTAGTAGATTTATACAAAATCAGTGATTTGTCCCAGTTTTATTTTTAAAAAATGTTCCAACTGTCCCTATTTTTGACCAATTTGATACCCACCAAGAGTAAAAAAGGGAATATATTGCCATTTGTTTAGCCAAAATACACAAAATTTAGCTTGAAAATGACCATAATAAAACAAAAAATACACCGTCTAAAGTCCTTCAGATTATGTTTGACCCACAAAGAAAGTTAGAAATTAACAATTAGTTACATTTAGGCTCATTTTTCACAATTTTACTCACATTAAGCAGCCTAACTTTCTTTGTTAACAGCTTAAATCTATAGACGTACTGTTTTTTTTTTGTTTTTTTTTTCCTCCAGCCTGTGTGTGTGTTTTTGTAATGCACAGGCCGGTGTGTTTGGCATTAAAAAGCGCTTCGCCGTAATTACATAATAACAGGATCTACGCTGCAGGGAAACTGTAACCGGCACTAATTTGACACAACAAGTGGAATTTCACCAGCCTAGAATTTAGAGTAGAAAGTAGGTTGACCAGATTTTTCTAAAAACTGGGACACACCTGGTTTGTGGTGGTTGGTATAAATAAAAATCATGAAAAGAGAGTCTAACTAACTAATTGTCTATTCATAATTTAATTTATGGGTCAGTCACAATCTGAGGGGCTTTGGACAATGCTTTTTTTTTTTTTTCTTTTGGTCATTTTATTCTATTTCTACGTCTCTATTTACCCGGGACAGTCCCAGTTTTGACTCCCGTGTCCCCTGTCCCTGCAGATTTATCCAAAACAACTGATTTGTCCCAGTTTTATACAAGAAATGTCCATATTTTTGACCCATTTGATCCCTGCCGACAGTAAAGAGACACATAAACTGTCATTTGTTGAGGTAAAATACAGAAAAGCTGCTTAAAAAAACGACCAAAACACAAAGAAAATGTGATTATACTGACACATTTTACTCATGAATGGGCCGAGTGCAAAACAGTTTTCCTTAATTACGCACTTCATTTCACTTTCATAGTTTTATTATTACCAATTACCCCAAACCGAGGATGTCCCAGTTTTTTATTTTGAAAATGTGGTCACCCTAAATTCTGTAGCCTGATATTTTGAAGTAATATTACTTTTACTCACTACCCTAGGGTGACCAGACGTCTCTATTTACCCGGGACAGTCCCAGTTTTGAGCTCTGTGTCCCATGTCCCTGCAGATTTATCAACACCAGTGATTTGTCCCAATTTTATACAAGAAATGTCTCTATTTTTGACCAATTTGATCCCTGCCAACAGTAAAGAGAGTCACATATTGTCATTTCTTTGGGTAAAATACAGAAAAGCTGCTTAAAAACAACCTAAACACAAAGAAAATGTGACTAATTACACACTCGTTTAACAATTTTATTATTACCAACCACACCAAACCGAGGGTGCCCCAGTTTTTTATTTTGAAAATCTGGTCACCTTAAATTGCGTAGCCTGATATTTTGAAGTAATTTCCCTATTTTTGACCTGTCAGCAGTAAAGAGAGACATAAATTGTCACTTGTTTAGGTAAAATACAGAAAAGCAGTTTAAAAACAAAAAAAAAAAAAGAAAATGTGACTATACTCACTTACTCTATACTCACAGTTTTCCTTAATTACACACTCGCTTAACAATTTTCTTCTTTTTTATTATTACCAATCACCCCAAACCGAGGGTGTCCCAGTTTTTTTTTTTTGAAATTCTGAAATTTTGAAGTAATATTACTTTTACTCACTACCCTAGTGTGACCAAACGTCCCCATTTACTCGACACAGTTCCACTTTTGAGCCCTGTGTCCCCTGTCCCAGCAGATTTATACAAAACCAGTGATTTGTCCCAATTTTATGCAAGAAATTTCCCTATTTTTGATCAATTTGATCCCTGCCAACAGTAAAGAGAGACATAAACTGTCACTTGTTTAGGTAAAATACAGAAAAGCTGCTTAAAAATGACCAAAACTCAAACAAAATATGACTATACTGACTCCGTTTTATACTTACTCTATACTCAGTTTTCCTTAGTTACAACACTCGTTTAAG